CCGAAACCGAAATAATTGCTTTGAAGATTTACCCATTGATAATACGGGTTAATTGATAATACGGGTTAGTATTATTCAAATTTTGGATATACGGTTTCAATTTGTCTTTATTTAGAACTGCTAACCCTCCAAAATATGTTATTAATAATCTTGGATCGTTTCCTGTATTTTGCATGGTAGTAGAATTTGTGAATATTGTTAAGACTGTATGTTGCCTTCTATATAGATTTTGGTTAATTTTGTCGTTGGGTTGCTGTCTCTTTGATGTATACCTGCATATTCATGAATTATGTTGATTGTTGATAAAAGAGACGTCAAGACAATTAACATAACTCGTACTAAACTGAAGTTCCAGACCCAATTTATTTTTAGTTTTCTGCTAAAGGAGAGATAATCCAATGTGAACCATCATGTTCCATTGCCCTCATAATCCGATACTGGCGTTAAGTTTTATTGTGAATTATGTATTGAATATTTTACCACACAGTAGATGTTGTGTATTGAGTATTTTACCTCAGGGTGGTTGTGGTAGAGTAATAAACTACACGATGTTTATGTTTTATTGAATATTATACTTAACCAATACTGTGTTTGTTACTTGTTTTTCCCGTCCATTTTAGTCGTCCATTGAGTATTTTACCAGACGGTGAATGTCGTTCATTGAGTTTTTTTACCAGACGATGAAAGGCGTTTTATTGAGTATTTTACCAGACGATGCTTGCTTGTAGTAGATTGAGTTACTTTATTGAGGATTTTACCAGAAGTTGAATGTCGTTTATTCAGTATTTTACCAGACGGTGAATGTCGTTAATTGAGTATTTTACCAGACAGTGAGTCGTCCATTGAGTATTTTACCAGACGGTGAAGGTCATTTATTGGGTATTTACTAGACGGTGAATGTCGTTTATTGAGTATTTTACCAGCCGGTGAATGTCGTTCATTTAGTATTTTACCAGACGATGAAAGGCGTTTTATTGAGTATTTTACCAGACGATGCTTGCTTGTAGTAGATTGAGTTACTTATCACAAGGTGATTGTGGTGTATTGAGAATATAGGAAAATTATGTGTTTTATTGAATATCTTACCATACTGTTAGTATGATTTATTGAGTATTTTACCACACCAAGGGTTCCAAGTGGTAAAGCTAAAGTCATTCATCCGAAATTTTTACGGACGTGATCACAAGTTGATTGACAGTTATTGGATATCTGTTTCACGAATTAAAAACGGATATGTTATTATCGCTTGTTATTAATTCATTTCTTAAATGAATACTCATAAAAAATTTGTGTTTAGAACATAAATTAATAGTATGAAAATGTTTTGTCGTTAGAAATATATATGTAAGTAAAAAATCATTGATAATATCTATGCACACGTACAGAAAAATTGTGTAAACGCATGCGGAAGAATATCTCAAGAACGTTTTGCGGGAAAATATGAATGCCTGCTCAAATCCAATCTATTAGAAAAATCATATTATTACAGAAGAGTGTCCACCATGCACTTGCACTGCACTATTATTAGAATAATAAAATTTAATGATATACAAATGGATGAAAATTATATGAAAATTATATTTTATACATGTAACTGTTATATACAAACATTAATATAATATATAACAACAAACCAAAGTATACTGATTTGCATCACTACAATATAATAGTTATTGTATTTACATTGTATCATAGATCAAATTTATTCGTTCAGTGTATGTTCACTTGTGTTAATATGTCTTTTGATTGAGTTAAGCCATTTCAATTGATATTTTATAGTGTGTCTTTCTATGTTGTGATGTTTCAGATAAGGGTGAAGGTTTGGTACCATTAAAACGTTTAAACCCGCTGCAATTGTTTGCACCTGTCCTAAGTCAGGAATCTGATGTTCAGTAGTTGTCGTTTGTTGATGTGGTTCATAAGTGTTTCTCTTTTCTCGTTTTTTTTAAATAGATTAGACCGTTGGTTTTCCCGTATGAATGGTTTTACACTAGTAACTTTTGGGGTCCTTTATAGCTTACTGTGCGGTGTGAGCCAAGGCTCCGTGTTGATGACCGTACTTTGACCTATAATGGTTTACTTTTATAAATTCTGACTTGGATGGAGAGTTGTCTCATTTGCACTCATACCACATCTTCTTATATCTATCCAATGTAATGTCTTTGTTCCTATTCCATATCTATTGACCTTACTTTTTAGAAGTTCGTGAGGTACCGTATCAACTGCATTTTCAAAGTCAAGTATAAAAATGTCAGCCTGTTTCTTGTTGTCTATGGTAGTTGCCTGTTAGTGTTTTATGCTTACCGTATAAAAATAAGGAGATGTGGTATGATTGCCGATGAGATACCAAAATTCAAATGAAGTGGATGCAAGTTTTAGTTGTGTTGCAGTTGTGTCTCGCATATGAGCTTATATACGAGCACGCGAGTTAAGATAGATGTGAATTTTGATCAGGGGGACGCGAGGTAGAATAGATCTGAATTTTAATCAGATTGGAGTGCTGTCTGTTGTTGAGTATGTTTTGGTCTTCAAAGTGCAGTGTGTATAAGGTTTGAATATATGATGTGTTCTATTAATTTACATGTGATACAAGTTATTGATACTGATAGATACTTACTGGGTAGGATGTCTGATAGATCTGTTGACATTTCCTTCATAACACGGGGATGGATGCCGTCAAGTCTTATCGCTTAAGTAGCATTTCTAATCTTTAGCATATTTTCCACTTCTTTTCTGATAACATTGCGGTTCATTATTTTGATATTGATTTACTATACTGTACAGAATCAAACTTTGTTTCTGTAATAAACGCTTATATACTGTTGATTTAGAGCTTCAGCTTTCTCGCTGTCGTTTTCGGCAAGTTTTTCATTTTTTTTTTTTGGTTTGAAGTGGTGGAATCCCTCGTTTGTCTGCCATTGGCTATGGAATATTCCAAAATAGTTTAGTAACCTAAATAAAATTGAGAATGGAAATGGGGAATGTGTCAAAGAGACAACAACCCGACCATAGAGCAGACAACAGCCGAAGGCCACCAATGGGTCTTCAATGCAGCGAGAAACTCCCGCACCCGAAGGCGTATTGACTATCAGATTGTTTACAAAGTTGTCATGAGTTTATTTCGGGGACGGAGAACGCAATTTGTCCCGAGTGCGGCTATATAGTGCCGCTTTGACTGAGCCTTCGGCTGTCTTGGGTGTGATTTTGCCGTCTTCAAGGTTGTTCCAGTCAACAGCAGTTTTGTTCTTTCGTTGTATTATTCGTCTTATGATGACGTTAATCTAGAGTAATGACTTCTTTCCTCCAGCTGTTTTAATTGATACCTTCTTTTTTTATTATTATTATTTATAATTTCCAATTTACAGCATAATATACACAAATATAATAGCAATATATAATAATATGAATATTAATATTATCTAATCAATACATCTTTCTTATGAAGCTTTTTTCCTTCTAAATATACGTATATAAGATAGAGAGTAAGACAGTCTGGACACCATAGAGAGAGATTGAGAGAGAGAGAAAAAGAGTTTTCAAGACAAATTCATCTGGACATTAAATTATAATTCAGTATAGCAGAGACGTCTCTGAGTATAGTAAATCCTACATTTTAATTTATAGCAGTAAAGATATATACTTTACTGAACTACGTAATATATTTAAAATATTCCATTATCTGTGAAAGTTCAAACTAATATTCACTTTTGTTTTTCATAGCAATATTTTTATCAATTGCATACAAATATTTCATCTTCTCTTTTACTGAGTATATCGCCAGTTTTTTTCCAACCATCTGGTATTATAAAAAAATTAATATATTGTTTTATGATAACTCTAATTGATACATTCTTCTTTGTTGTCTTTGAAATGAAGTTTGTTTTTTGTTTTTTTATAAATTTTCAAGTTGTCCTCCACGGATCGATTTTTTGGGGTGACCATGCCATTGTCAACTTATCAATAATCCGCGGCTCAAGTGAGTTGAAGTCTATATCTAGTTGACCTCCCCGCAATAACACTATTATATTGTTTTTAGAAAACAGTTTGTTTTCTTTTGCGTCTTTACTTATATAATTGTAACAGTTGTGGATTTCCAATACGGAGATAAACCACAAAGGCTAAGGTTCTTTTATATAATCTTTATTCTAAATATTCAGTATATCAGTACCCTATAAAATAACAATTATTACAAGTATTAAATACCATAAATAACATAAAATACAGTAGATGTGACACATACATATTATAATCAATTACAAAGAAACATGCATAAACAATCTGTCTGCATTACTATAATATTTGCAACAATTCCTCTTTAAGAATTGTCAGTGAGACAATTCAAACTCTACCAATAAGGTAAGTAATAATATAACTCCTAAAACTACAGTTACATTTCAGTATGTATTTCATGAAGTTTTACACAAGGAAGATAACTCTTACAGGTAGATATTTCAGTACTTCATATCATACTATTCTTATATTATATATCAATATATTCACTTAGTTCATGAAATGTATATAACTAATTACCAATCTATGGAACGTCAATATATATGTTCCTGATTAAGATAATAAATATCAGAGACATTTTATATGTCTCTGTAAATATATATGTCAATGTAATATAACTGTAATTGACAATAAATGATAAAAACCGGACTCTACTACATAATGCCGTAGTATTTTTTCCATTATTTTACACACAACTGATGTCAAACTGACTGGTCTATAGTTTTAGCTAGTGACTTATAGATGACTGCGACTATAATGACTATGATCTCAGATGGGAGCCAGACTGACATATTTGCAGTTCTAAAATCTACCAGGTCACACAAATTTATAAAACAAATGATTAAAATAAAGGTGTGCTACTCTGTACATTGTGAGAGATTGGATAAAGAACATGCTGAGTGTCTATGCATTGCACATACATGCTGTATACACGATTTAGGTGAGATTCTTTTAAAAATAAAATTATTTTCCCGCCTTTTTTCAGAGGAGTTCCGAAAGGAAAAGCGTCTTTGGCAACATGATCAGGATGAAAGTCATAAATGTTTCAGGGACATAAAAACAACACTTAACTTTAAATTAGTCGACCAAGATTAATTGTAAACATCCTGTAGCTGTAAATCACCAATATTTATACAGTTGCACGCAACTATGGAATAATCACGCAAACTGTAAGTTAATTCACAGTTATGTTGAGTCGACACAGTGGCTTTTTTTTTTTTTTATCTTTAACTACTTCTGTTTTCTTTTATTGAAATGAAGCGAAATAGTATAAATTTAAAATCACTAACATAAATTACATCTATTACAGAAAAGCATATAACGTTGAGTACATGTTACGAGGGAAGAGTCCCATATATTTCTATTTAAATTCTCACACTGCATTACAGTCTGTATCGATATATATACAATTAACATTGTATAGTGATCTAATGGAAATATAGGGATGACAACATGATTTGGTTGACCTTTATGGAATATTTGTGTCACAGCTGACCACATATATAATCCAATTCTAGCTACAGTTCTGTATAATGAGTTATGTAACAGTGGTTTGATTCGCCAGTGTTCTTTATCCGGAGGAAGAAAATCCCCAGTGATTTTGCTAGCGCTCGTCATTTTCGTCATTTACGAAACGGTTTTCAAAATGACGAAAGTATTTCAAATCAATTTCGTCACTTAAATTTGGAAAGTGTTAAAATATTTTCGCATGAAAATACTATAATTCTACCTGTCATCATGTTTCTGACAAGTTTATGACCCTCAGCTAATTAACATTTACAACGTGTTAAAAGTTGTGATTACAGGTAATCCGCTTATCACCATCGGATGGGTCACTAATCTGTTAATTATAATATAAACCTCATAATTGACCATCACAATTATTTTCCACAGTAAAACTTGCAGTTCGTTTGTGGTTGTTTCGTCTTTTGAACAAAATTGTTTTCCCCTGGCCAGTTCGCATTTCTTTTTCCAAATACTGCCCACATTCAACATGATGAATATTCTGTTTATTTTCAATATTTCTCAAACGATCACAATTTGCAGATCGTTTGTCGTAGTTTCGTCATTTGAATGTATTTTCGTCATATTAGATATGACTTTTCATCAAAAACTTTCGACAATTTCGATTAAAAAGAAAGAACTTTATTCAGAACTTTCAGAAATGTTTTCATGAGCTAAACAGGTGCTGCCTGTACTATGTACTGCGCATGCATGAAAGTATTCCTATGAATATTTATAGACACTAAAAACGTAAAATACGTAATAATTTATAATTAGTATCAAATTCAACAAGAGAGACAAATATATATCTCTAACTACGCAAATTGAATTTAAAAAATGATAATTTCCTGCCTTTTTTTAAACACGACCCAATCCGTAGATGAATCCGAATTCATTCTGAATTTTATATCCATGTGTCACTTCCCGTTTTCATTTCATTTGAAAATTGAAAGTTAACGTGATGATCTATTCTTGATTAGTTTACAACCGCTTTACAGTCATTAGAATCGTTCCAATAAGGATTTGTACAAATCCTTGTTTCCAACTCTTATAGAAGTGAATTCCAGATATCGATTTAAACGTTTTTAAGGATAATGATTATGCAGTGAAATACATGTAGTCGTTACAAGTTCATTTATGCTGTGATTCCTGGTTTTAAAAAATTGGAATCCAACTTTTGTTGATCAGGAATGTCCACTGAAACAAACTAAAGTGAAATTGTGAACTAGATTTCCAGATCCTATATCATAATCTTCATATTTAAGCACCACATCAGTCAAATCATGCAATAAATGCCTAGCATGCCTAAGTCCTTCAAAGTCTGACAAAGATGTACATGTATACATATAGCTACATGTAGTAATATATATGCTTTGTCCCTTGCTGTTACCCAAAAAAAGGTTGATTTCATCTCCCGCAAAAGTGGCTAAAGCCCTCAAAATCCTATCTTAAACCCTGTTTTTATCCACCAACAAAAATTCACTAGGTTTTTCTATCCGGGTCCAGTATAAAACATCCACCAGTCATTATAAGGTTCTAAAAAAAGTTTTTTGAAGGGGAAATATATATAAAATGTGGCTTAATAGTTTTTAGTGTATTTGAAACTTGCATAGTTGATTTATGTAAAAAGTGGAGAGTTTTCATCCAAGGAATGCTCACACTAATGATTGCACTAGTTATTTTATACCAGGATTAATTACACTAGTGCTTTATTTAGATCCATACATTGATGAAGTGATTAATACTCATTTTGAACACACGATAACACAATAATGCTTATTAACGAATAAGATTTAAATAATTTTTCTATGCAAATCTATAAAATCATATGCTTTTAAATTGTCACTAATTGTAATATTTATATTTATTGGATTGCCGAAGTTTTACTGTGTATTTGCTTTTCGGTCGACTTAGATATAAAAAATCATGTCTTCTATGTCAATATCAAAGGATGCTTCTATAATTGAAACTTTATGTAAGAACAAATCTGCTCTTTAAATTTGGTTTATATCAAGTGCAATGTCCTGATCATTGATAAAGTATTTTGAGTTATAAAAATATCCTCCTCATCATCATCAATATTATTTATTGGATTGACTCAGATTAATTAAACTGGTTCCTTGAAAATCATTTTAATTTTAACCCATTTATTTATGTAAACAATAAACCGGTCTAATATAAACAATACAACGATATCAAGATCAACGCTTTCACACTATTTACATCCAATATTCTTTAGTGAAAAACAGTTACCCGGAATAAATACACGGCGAAATGAAAGTACGCCTACAGTTACAGGTTGTCATTGAGTTTATGTCTGGTTTTGATCCACTGATTTGTGTCGATATTACAGGTTTTGGACTTTGAAAATTTCATGTAAATAACAGTTATACTGACTTTTATTCTCAAATTTCCACTTCTAAAAATGGCTTCAAGCTTTTTTTGGCGAGTGGGGCTACATGTATTTGTGTCATTCCGACACATCTAATTTATCCCTGTGATATATACATACATAGTGAGTCCATCTTTATTTCTTTATAACATTTTTGTCATTTGTTGATGTGGTTCATAAGTGTTTCTCGTTTTTGTCGAGCCTTCGACTTTAGTCGAAAAAGCGAGACATAGCGATCCTACATTCCGTCGGCGGCATCCACAAATATTCACTCTGTGGTTACAGTTTTTGAAATTTTAATAACTTTCTTAAATTATCCTGGATTTCTACCAAACTTGGACAGAAGCTTGTTTATGATCATAAGATAGTATCCAGAAGTAAATTTTGTAATAATAAAATTCCATTTTTTCCGTATTTTACTTATAAATGGACTTAGTTTTTCTGCTGGGAAACATTACATTCAATCTGTCATGTCTGTGGTTAAAGTTTTTAAAATTTTAAAAACTTTCTTAAACTATCCTGGGTTTCTACCAAACTTGGACAGAAGCTTTTTTATGATCATAAGATAGTATCCAGAAGTAAATTTTGTAAAAAAAAAAATCCATTTTTTCCTTATTTTACTTTTAAATGGACTTAGATTTTCTGCCACGAAACAACACATTCACTCTGTGGTTAAAGTTTTTAAAATTTTAATAACTTTCTTATACTATTTTGGATTTGTACCAAACCTGGACAGAAGCTTGTTTATGACCAAAAGCTAGTATCTAGAAGGAAATTTTGTAAAAAAATAAATCCATTTTTTCCGTATTTTACTTTTAAATGGACTTAGATTTCTGCCAGGAAACAACACATTCACTCTGTGGTTAAAGTTTTTAAAATTTTAATAACTTTCTTGTACTATTTTGGATTTGTACCAAACTTGGACAGAAGATTGTTTATGATCAAATGCTAGTATCTAGAAGGAAATTTTGTTTTCTTCCAGTTAACATTACATTCAGTCTGCAGTTAAAGTTTTTAAACATTTATTAGATTCATAAACTATCCTGGATTTTTACCAAACTTGGACAGAAGCTTCTTACAATCAAAAGATAGTATCAAGAGGAATATTTTTATTGATTTACTTCCTCATTTTTGTTGAGCCGGCAATTAACAGAAAAAGTAGGCGAGACACTGGGTTCCGTGGAACCCTTACGAATTTTTTATTTAGATTTGACCGTTGGTTTTCCCGTTTGATTGGTTTTACACTAGTAATTTTTAGGGCCCTTTATAGCTTGCTGTTCGGTGTGAGCCAAGGCTCCGTGTTGAAGACCGTACTTTGACCTATAATGGTTTACTTTTATAAATTTTGACTTGGATAGAGAGTTGTCTCATTGGCACTCATACCACATCTTCTTATATCTATTTGATGATTTCTTCTCAATATATTGTAGCATTTTAATAAAAACAGAAGACTATGAATTGTTGCAATGGCAACAACAAAAACAACAAATTTGGGGTTGTCATCCCCTGGTGAAGAGAGAGAGCGACTTGATAGGCTTTTGAAACTTTTTGATAACAGTATTGCATTTGGCCTGAAAGATAATAAAGTAAGTAAAACTTTGAACAACATCTTCTTGCAAGTAAGACAGCACATGAATTTCCTTTTCGTTAAGTTTCACCGGTCCTGTGAATCTTTTTTCTAATTCTGTGATTAAGTTATAGTTTTATCGTATTTATGGTCAGTACATGTATGGGTTCAATAATGAATAAAATGTTAATCACAAGAAGACTCATTGTATACAAACTTAGGGTTAGAATGATATTGTCCACTCGTTTATACAATAGTTAAGTCATTGGATCTATACTGTTTAGTGCATTCTAGATTAAGATTAATTAAGAATGTTGTTTTCAATATAATTTATATGCATATATATACAAGCTGTTCTGACTGCAGCTTATTTCATGTACATACAAATATCCATGTTTAAATATTAACATGGTAACTATTGTTTACTAGGAAGGAGAAAAAGTAAGTTAATATTGAGTTTATGGCTCACCTGGCCCAAAGGGCCAAGTGAGCTTTTCTCATCACTTGTCGTCCGTCATCATCATTCACTTTTACAAAAATCTTCTCTGAAACTACTGGGCCAAATTTAACCAAACTTGGCCACAAACATCATTGGGTAATAGTTTAGAAAATGTGTTCCATGAACCTGCCTGCCATTGAACCAACATGGCTTAAAATAGAACATAGGGTTAAGATGCAAGTTTTGTCTTTTATCCCAAAATCCGCTTAAAATTGAGAACATCTAATAGGAGTAGAAAGGTTCAGAATGCTGAGATCTACATGTGTACCTACTGTCCATTTATGTCAAAATTGTCAGACAACTTCTTATAGGAGTTATTGCCCTTAAATGACAACTTGCAATTTTTTTTCAATATTTCCTATTATCTTGAAAATGGAAGATAGAGGGAAACTTTAGTGAGCAAATATGATCAGCACGACAAGATCTACCAAAAATATAAGAATAAGGAGATGTGGTATGATTGCCAATGAGACAACTATCCACCAGTGTTCAAGTACATTGTACATGTAAGTGGATGTAAGCCATAATAGGCAACCATATCATATGGCCTTCAAAAATGAAACCAATGCTGTATAGTTTGCTATAAAAGGCCCGGACATGAAAAATGTGAAATAATTCAAACGAGAAAACTGACACCCTAATTTATAATAAAAACAATTTACAAAGAAACAAATACGGCAGACATGAAACAATTACAACCACTGAAATACTAGTTCCTGACTTGGGACAGGCACATACATGATGATACAGAATATGGTGGGGTTAAAGATGTTTGTGAGCACTTTTGAAACCCTCCCCTAACCTGGAACAGTGGTGTAACCGCACAAATTAAGAATAAACTAAAACTCATTTGCAATTGGCTTAACTCAAAGGATCGGTTTGAGGCATAAAAACAACCAACATAAAAACAATAGACACATAAATCACAAAAACTATCAGCAAGACCAGATCTATAAATAAGTCTGTGTCAAAATCATTAGTAGACTCTTCATAGGAGTGATTGACTTAAGACAATTTTTGTAAATCTTTTTTTTATGTTTTGGTAAAAATCAACAGTTTTAAACAGAAAAATTTGTAAGCATTACAAGATAAAAAAAGAGAGATTTTTGTCTTGAATACTAATCTAGTCTATAATGTTTGAGAGTGTCCATTGTTGAAGATGCACATAGACCTAGGTGAGTGACACCGGCTCTTTAGAGACTCTAGTTTACTAATCACACCAAACTTTCATTGCAGATTTTTACTTTCCAATTCTGAGATCATCCCTCACAATTTTTGGTTAATGACAAACATCCATTAGATGATTAAAACTGTTAATTTCCTTCTTGCAATATCTATATAATATGTATATGTTTTGGCAAAAAAGTTATCAACAAATTGTAGGTATTCTTATGGACGCTTAATTGTTACCCTAAAACAGCAGACTTGTTCCTGTATTGTTATTATCACAGGTAATGGTCAAACTATACTTTTGTACATGTACAAATCAAAACCTTGTGAAGGATGGGCTTCACCTCCATTGGGCAAGTCTGACTTTAGACAGTTTTAATTATTCTAGTTTATTCTAATCATGCTAACTGAAAAATTGATTTAAATCAATTTAAGCAAGGATTTTGTGGACCATGTACAACACTGATTCTTTGCTCATTGTTCAAGAAAACATTGAAATCCATCACAAAAAGTTTTAAATAATTTTAAAACATTAGATCATATAGAATAATATTTTTTTTTAACTATATGATGGTTTTTCAGAATTGTTTCATTAAATGATTCAATATGATGTTTAACCTTTTTCATTATAACAAATATAGTTGTGATATAAATCATAACTATTGAACAAAACATTGATAACCAAACTTTTTTATATGCCCGTTTATGGGACCTATTATGGTATACCATTGTCTGTCAGTCCATCCTTCTGTCCGTCCATCTGTCATCAACATGTCAGACAATAACTCAAAAAAACTTTAAACAATTTTCATGAAACTTTTGTGAATTGTTTATATCTATTGACGTAAGCTCCCTTTCGATTTTTGCAAATTTTTGATTTTACGTTTCCAAGTTATGGGATTTTATTCATTAAAAAGGGGGATTTTCAAGTTTTCGGACAATAACTCAAAAATGCTTTGAGCAGTTTTCATGAAGCTTTATTGACTGGTTTATATCTATTTAAATAAGCTCCCTTAGGTTTATTTTATAAATTTCTGATACGACATTGAGGAGTAATGGAACTTTATTTGTTGAAAAAGCAACGTGTATCATATAACAGTTTGCTTATCTGAGAAATGTTACTGTAAATTCACAAATTATTGCATGGTATTTATTAATGGGAATAATGCAACTGGGTGAGTATCACGATGATAAGAACTCACATTCTGATATCTGATGCATATACAATGTATAAGTATATAGATTTTCCTGAAATCACAATAATAAATCTCACATTTATGTCCATTCTTCAAAAATCTCAATTATAAATGCACACAATAATTTCTTAATTTACAGTATAAAATTTTGCACAGCATGGTTTGCCACAAAAATTTGTTAATCATGTGTATTGTAGCCAATTCTTCATAGATAATAAATATACAGATATGTGCAGACACATCTTCATCAGACTGGCCATACATGTGCCATAAAATAATGGTCACCATGGTCACTTGCCTTTATTTCATTGTCCAGTGGCTTAAATATGAGTTATATGTCAAAGTTCAGTCCTCATACATGTATGTTAAGAGCTTAAATCATTAAACTAAGTGTTAAGGATGCATCTAATGGTCCAGGAGTACATCAGCCTCTTAGAAAAGTAGGTCACTCATGCCTAGATTTTAACAATAATTTAACATCTACTATAGATTTCTTATTTTGAAGATGTTGGCAATTCAGGACTATTATTTAATGTGGCAAGATAAGAATTCCAAACAAAATTATTCTATTATTATTTATGCTAAACCATTTTTTTATCTCTTCAATTGATAATTAAGTACCCTGGAAAATAATTTATTATACCCTCTTCCTTCCAAGGAAGGGGCTAAACTGGTTTGCATAGGTCCTTCCAATAATATTCACTCTATCAACTTTCAATTTACTGAAGAGTTATAACATGGGTATCGGCTGACACTGCCTCTTGCTTTTTCTGTAGAAATTGATCTATGTAAGATCTTCTATCTGTTACGATGTTTTCAATTATTTCAAAGTTTTATACTTCCCTATATAATGTTTACTACAATTTAGTATAACAAACAGTTGTCCTGACTACATGTATGCTTGACATATTTGCCACTGGACTTTAAGCTAGAAACAATCAATTAATGTAAAAAATGGACAATGAATACAATGTTATGTACCATGCATAAGTTTTCAATCAACCATGCAATTCTGCTGTGTAGAACACATGTTATTGATGTAATGGTCATTCTGCTGTCAATTAATTTTACAGCACTAACATTGATTTATTAAGTTTGTACAGAGTGCCAAAAATAGGAGAATTGTATAACTTAAATAAGTTGTTTTTTACATATATAGGACAGCAGGGTAAGTACCAAATAACAACACTCAATTTGGTTACCCTGCACAATTAGGTGCACTTAATAAGGCAACTGAAAGTACTTTGGTATTTTACATTTTTATTATGATTATACTTTTTGGTTAAAATTGAAACAATGTAAAAATGTTACATTTTTAGGTCAGCTGGCCCACTGGGCCAAGTGAGCTTTTCTCATCACTTGACGTCCTTCGTCTGTCGTCGTTTTCGTCCGTTAACTTTTACAAAAATCTTCTCAGAAACTACAGGGCAAAATTTAACCAAACTTGGCCACAATCATCATTGGGGTATCTAGTTTAAAACAATGTGTCCAATGACCCTGCCTGCCAACCAAGATGGCAGACATGGCTAAAAACAGAACATAGGCCTAGGGTAAAAATGCAAGTTTTGTCTATTATTTTGAAATCTATTATTTTGAAACTGTTATAAAAAGAGAAAATCTGACAAGAGCAAAAATGTTCAGCACAGTGAGCTTTACCAATTGTCTTGATACGTCAAAACTGTCAGACGACTTCTTATAGGAGTTATTGCCCTTAAATCAAAAATTTTACCATTTTCTTCATTTTTGCCTATTATCTTGAAAACTATAATAGTTAAAGAGAAACTTTAAATTGCAAAAATGATCAGCAAGACATGTTCTACAAATAAGTCTAATGGTTGAAATCTTCAGTCAACTCCTTATTACAGCTATTGCCCTTTGATGATGATTTTTACCAATTTTTGTCTCGCCTTGAGTGAGTCAAAAAGCGAGACATAGGTATGCTGTTTCCAGCGGGCAGCGGCATCAACAATGTATAAGTTTGTGATAAGGTCTAGTTTATGGTGAACCACTAGTGGTAGGTCAATGATATTTGGTATGTAGTTGTATTAGCTTTCGCACATCTCATTTCCATGGATATATTTTGGCCCTGCCCCCTCAGTCATGGTCTATTGACTTTGAAACTATTGCTTAGTTTACATGTATTAGTTTGTGATAAGGTCAGTTTATGGGGAACCACTAGTGGTAGGTCAATGATATTTGGTATGTAGTTGTATAAGCATTGGCATATCTCATTTCCATGGAGATTATTTGGCCCTGCTCCCTCAGTCATGGTCTATTGACTGAAAATTTTGCTTAGTTTACATGTATTAGTTTGTGATTAGGTTAGTTTATGGGGAACCACTATTGGTTGGTCAATGATATTTGTTATGTAGTTGTATAATCATTGGCACATCTCATTTCCATGGAGATTATTTGGCCTAGCCCCTCAATCATGGTCTATTGAATTTGAAACTTTTGCTTAGTTTACATGTATTAATTTGTGATTAGGTTAGTTTATGGGGAACCACTATTGGTTGGTCAATGATATTTGGTATGTAGTTGTATAAGCATTGGCACATCTCATTTCCATGGAGATTATTATTGGCCCCGCCCCCTCAGTCATGGTCTATTGACTTTGAAACTTTTGCTTAGTTTACAGGTATAAGTTTGTGAAGATGATCCACTGATGTTAAGTCAATGATATTTGGTTTGCAAATGTATTTGTACGTCCGTCGTCGTCGTCATCGTCTGTCGTCGTAAACTATATCTTCTCCTCTGAAACTACTGGGCCAAATACCTCCAAACTTTAACTAAATGTTCCTTAGAGTATCTAGTTTATAAATTGTATCTGAAGTTTTGACCCATTGACAAACATGGCCGCCATGGCTAAAACTAGAACATAGGGGTCAAATGCAGTTTTTGGCTTATATCTCAAAAACTAAAGCTTTTAAAGCTTATCTGACATTGGGTAAAATTGTTCAATTGGTCAAGATCTATCACCTCTGAAATTTTCAGACGAATCAAACAACCCATTGTTGGGTTGCTGCCACCGAATTGGTAGTTTTAACAAAATTTTGCTGTTTTTTGTTATTATTTTGAATATTATTATAGATATATATAAACTGTAAGCAGCAATAATGTTCAGCAAAGTAAGATCTACAAAAAAGTTAATATGACCAAAATTGTCAATTGACCCCTTAAGGAGTTATTGCCCTTTAAAGACAATTTTACACAATTTGTTCATCAAGTTTGCTAATATTTAAAAAATCTTCTCCTCTGAAACTACTGGGCCAATTACCTTCAAACTTTAAATAAATGTTCCTTAGGGTATCTTGTTTATAAATTGTATCCGAAGTTTGTATCCATTGACAAACATGGCTGCCATGGCTAAAAATAGAACATAAGGGTCAAATGCAGTTTTTGGCTTATATCTCAAAAACTATATCTTTTAGAGCAAATGTGACATGGGGTAAAATTGTTTAATTGGTCAAGATCTATCGACCCTGAAATTATCAGACGAATCATGCAACCCATTGTTGGGTTGCTGCCACCGAATTGGTAGTTTTAACAAAATTTTGCAGTTTTTTGTTATTATTTTGAATATTATTATAGATATATATAAACTGTAAGCAGCAATAATGTTCAGCAAAGTAAGATCTACAAAAAAGTTAAATGACCAAAATTGTCAATTGACCCCTTAAGGAGTTATTGCCCTTTAAAGACAATTTTACACAATTTGTTCATCAAGTTTGCTAATATTTAAAAATCTTTTCCTCTGAAGTACAGGTGAGTGATTCAGGCTCTTGAGAGCCTCTTGTTTTGTGTTTTGAGCAAAAACTAAAGAAGATAGAGAGAAACTAAACAGACTAAACATTCAGCAAAACAAAATCAACAAAACAGATTTTTGTCGTGAATTCTATTCTCGTCTTCAATTTTGGACCAAGGTGAGCGACACCAGCTCTTAAGAGCCTCTAGTTTATAGTAAATTTGATCATTGTAGAGAAAAAGAGTTGGATTTAGAGATGTTGGAGATGAAGAGGAAGATGATCGACCAAAACTAACTCAAAGAGTGAAGACATTTTATGTGGATTCATGGCCAGAGGTCAAGTTCAATGCAGGTGAAGTTGAATATTTGACTGATTGTCTTTGAGTAAGACTTTAGAACAGGAACAGACCAAATATTTCACCTTGGACAATTCATTCATTATACAGATAAATTAGCTATTTTTGGCATGTTCTTAACAAATCTTGTCATAGAAAACTATCCAGATATAGAATGTGATATAGATAGCTTTGTGAACATTCACACTAAGTTCTTACGTGACACTGCTTGTGTGATTTTCTCTAAAGACGATTAATTTGTTCTCCTTTACTTGCCAAAAACATTAATTATTCATGAATAATTTGATCTTATAACAATATAATTGTATATATTACACATCTCTGTATAAGAGGAATTAAAGAATATATATACAGATATAGATGTAGAGAAATTCACTTTTTTTCCGTTGAAGTACATGTACAGTTAGTACTTATATTATTTTCATACAGATGCAATAAAGTTTTATTGGTTAAGTTGTCATCGTAAAATTTTAATCATACAATGAATCCATAAACTTTTGATAAATATGAAAACAATTTTGACAGATATTAGATAGGTCCTCAAAACTGAAGTTACTTACACTCTACCAGGTACTTTTATTGTGTTAATTATTGAAATTGTATGATATATAGATCAATAAATAGTTGTCCATGTTTAAATTATCTGTATAGTACTTGAGAATTAAATGGTCTTAACAACAAAATAAATAGATTTAAAGATAAGCCAATCTATCACATTGCAGTAGTATACTTTTATCTAAAATTTCTCATTCAAGTAAGTATTCAATATTGACAAAATAATACATGTTTGTGTGAAAATATTTATTATTCTTTCTGCTAACCTGTGATTACTGTAAATTCAGAAATTATTGCATGCATTTATTATTGCGATTTTTGAAGAATGGACATGCATGCGAGATTAATTATTGCGATTTCAGGGAAATCTGCATACAGATATACCTATTAGATATGAGAATGTGAGTTCTTATTATTGAGATACTCATCTAGTCACTTTATTCGCTTTAATAAAAACCTCGCAATAATTTCTGAATTTACAATAATTCATCTACATGTAGATAGTAATTTTTGTGCCCTAGAAGTTCACATATATATAGCAAAACCCAAAGGGCTAATTTGAGGTTTTGCCCTCATATTGTGTCCATTTTCTGTTGAATTTTCAACATTTTATCATCTCTTAACAACAGTTTGAAGGTCCTCAAAACTTTTGTTTGTTTTGTTGGGGGTCATGGCAATCATTTCTTTATCAATAATTATGTAATTTGCTATTCTTGAGTTATGAAACTTTATTTTTTTCAAATTTGACAGTTACATGTACATGTAAGACCTTAAATTTTTTCTTCAGCATTACTTTTTAGCACAATGGTAAGATCCTTGAGTACAATGTAAGCTCCTGTCCAAAATTTGGTTTATAACAAATTTTCATTTTACATATGTTTTAGTGATATTGGACATAGTTTGTCATACTTTTTTTCACTTTTGCTTTCTTTCTCCTAATTATGGCTCCCCTTTTACTAGGGGTACGTATCTATTGCCAGTAAAACTTTTTGACATTTGATCTCTGGGGAAAATAAATGCTCCTGAAGGGTAAACAGTTCAGATTGGTTTAATTTCCATCATTCGAAAAATGTGGTAAACAGTTCAAATTTGAGTGCAGAGTTGCCATTTTTTTTACATTGACATTGTACATAGGTATACTGGTACTTATCCAGGAGAAGATGCTCTTTAAAGCTTGTAGTATTTTTTATTTAAATTACTTCATTATTCTTTATCATTTATGCATTAATTAAACACACATTTGATTGTGGAATTAAACACGGCAGTAATTTTAAGACATTTTATTAAATAACTTAAATGTAAATGAATTTAAATTTTTATCTGGTTCCTTACAACTCCTATTTTGCACTTATTGAATTGAAATATTAATTGTGCCAAATTACATGTTAAAGTTCATTTTAAATGACACAAATGTATTTTATTATTTCTAATGCATTGAACTGTTATCAAAACAAAGTTAGAAATGTTCAAGTCCAATTGATTTTATCCCTTTGAATTAAACACTACCTTGGTTCAGTATATAGTGATCAAATATGGAACATGCAAGTCATGCATAGTTGTATACAATACTAAATACATTTACCCTACAAACTGTGACGATATGAACAGAACTCACAAATTCATACCTTGTACTCTGTGAGTATTGCAATGGGAAACCCAAGAAAAAGATAAGCCGTCTGTCTTTCATCCTCTCCAGTTGTGGTCACTTGTTAACTTTTACAAAAATATATTCTTTGAAACCACTGGTCTCATTAGAACCAAACGTAACCACAATCATCCTTGGGGTAGCTTAATGTGACTGATCATCACAAATACCAACCAACATGACCATAAAACAGAAGTTTTGTTTGTCATCTTGTAAACTGTTATAGATTAAATCTGACAGGGGCAGAAACATTCAGAATGTCACATTCTACCTACTGTCCATTTCAACCAAAACTTTCTGTCAAATGTATACACTAATATTGCCTTGAAATGATTTCTATACTTTTTGTTGAAGCAATTTTGGCTATTACCTTGAAAACTTGAATAGATAAAGAGAGAATTTTAATAGGAAAAATAATCAACTGGGATAAATTATTTCTACTCCTTGTAGGAGTTATTGCCCTTGAATGACAAATTTTACCCATATTTGTGTTTTTGTGAAACATAAAGTAGATAAAGAAAAACTCTTAACATAAAAATGAACAGCAGGACAAGATCTACTAAAAATTCTGCATGACCTTAATATCTGTCTACTTCTTATTGAAGTTATTGCCCTTGAATGACAATTGTTACCCATATTTGTGTTTTTTGTGGAAACAATATAGTAAATATAGAGAGAAACTGTTTTTATAATAGCATTAATTTTCAACAATAAAAGATATATAAAAAATTTACAATAATATCTGATGTTTTCATCAGTTGACCATGTATAGGTGCAGTTGTCATTGAATAGTGATTTTTACCTATTTTTAGCTCACCTGGCCCAAGTGAGCTTTTCTCATCACTTGGTGTCCTTCGTTGTTGTCCGTTAACTTTTATAAAAATCTTCTCCTCTGAAACTACTAGACCAAATTTTACAAAACTTGGCCAAGATGGCCGACACGGCTAAAAATAGAACATAGGGGTAGAAAGCAAGTATTAGCTATTTATAAATAGAGCAAATCTGACAAGGCAAAAATGTTCAAAATGGTGAGTTCTACCAATTGTCTATTAATGTCAAAACTGTCAGACGACTTCTTGTATGAGTTGTTGGCCTTAAATGACAAATTTTTCCTTTTTTTTTCATTTTTGGCTATTATCTTTAACTGCAAAAATGATCAACAAGATAAGATCTTCAAATAAGTTTAATGGTTGAAATTGTCAGTCAACTCCTTATTAGAGTTATTGCCCTTTGATGATGATTTTTTCCAATTGTTTGTGTTTTTGCCTTATATCTTAAAAGTCATAATAGATAGATAGAAACTTAAACAAGCAAAATTCTATAGCCCCCTTGCTTTCTATTCTGTTCTCATTGTGGTTCTCAAGTAGGTTTAAATTCTGTTCATTGCGCTAAAAGATTTCTCTGTTGTGGATGTTGAAGCTGGCATTGTAGGAAGGACAGATATAATAACAGAAATGTTCGGATAGAGATTTTTGTTTGTGGTGACAAGTGTTTCATGGAGTGTCTTTGGTTTAGTTTCTGCCATGATATACCTGAGGCTATGTAGCTTTGAATTTCAATATAACCACCAATTCATATATTTCCAATAGAATTTTATTGTTTTCTCCAAACTACCATCATTCAATTCATAAATATTTAATGTAAAAGTTCCCCACCCAATCATATTTGACAGCTAGAAAATTGGACCCATTACAGCGGCGCTTCTGTTTATGAAACTTTGGAATATTGGAACCAGTGATCCCCCTTTTCCCGGAATTTGAGCCTCTCCATGGGGTTTTTGATTTATGATTACTTGGCCTTTTTAGTGATGATATTGCCAAAACATTTGTGATTATGCAATTATTTGGACCCGCCATGAGGGCCTCAAATTTCATGTCAATCATGACGCGACAACCTTGTGTGTGCGCAATGTTACAAAATGTATATTCTGTTAGAATATAAGAGGTATGTTTTATTGAAAATAAAATTAATATTTGTTCCTAGATGGAAACAGGTATTTTTAAGCCCAGGAATGATCGCACCCTGTCACAAATTGAGTTTTGATCAATTCGTCTTTCTTGTCACAGGAAGCGATATCAGGATATGGTAGTTTAATTGATGTTAACGTTGCTCTGTCAGATGTAGAAGCCATCGCTCTGCTTGGCTCAATTTCAGATGAAACATGTCCGCGGGTCTGCATATCATCATCCTCTGCGCTTGCTGTAGCCGACGACGACGAAGACTTTTTACGAAAAAAGTAGAGAACACTTTTCTGCGATTTATCCATCTAGTATACATAAACTTAATGAAGAACAGACACGTACTGACCAAGCACATGCTTCGGAAATGATTGGGCGTTATCCTCATATCCTTACCCTTGTTACATTCGGTATCTGCTGCGAACATATTTAATGCGATCATATACAATTATTTTTTTTTTTTTTGGTCAAAATGATGTGCATGCTTGAGCATCTGAGCATACATGCAAGCTACGCCACTGACAGCTATGCATATGAACTATTTTGTTCAAAATATGTTCTACTTTCTTGTATGATCTTTCTAACCGGGCCGAATCAGTGGTTCTATACCTTAATGACGAATTTTACCAATTTTTTGGCGTTTTGCCTTATATGATAAAGTTATAGTAGATAAACAGAAACTTTAAATAACAAAACTGATCAGCAAGGCAAGATCTACAAATGAGTAAAATTTTGCCGATATAGTTAGTAGACAGTCAATCTCTATAGGATTGATTTACTGTCAATCTTTATAGGAGTGATTGCCCTTAAATGAGTATTTTTTTTTTGCTCTCTTTTGTGTTTTGAGCAAAAATGAAGAAAATAGAGAGAAAGTAAACGGACAAAATGATCATCAATACAAGATCAATACAAAAGAGATTTTTGTCATGAATTCTATTCTCGTCTACAATGTTGGAGACTGTCCTTTGTTGAATATGCACATAGACCAAGGTGAGGGACACAGGCTCTTTAGAGTCTCTACTTTATGTTTTTGCTGGAAACAATCAGATGATATTGTTATTGCATCATTTCAATTTTACACACACAAAAAATACCAGATAAGCCATAAAGGCTACTTGGAGCCTCTAGTTAAAGCATTTAACTATATAAGATGAAGAATAAGTAATAGCAAGAAAACATAGTATTTAATTGGATGTTATATTTTGCAGACAACACACTACGACCCCGTTCCAGTAGATTAATTGGTGGTACACCTATTACAATAGATACTGCAGTAGTAAGTATATATTTACCTCGAGATAAGAGAAAGTTTTACAGAATATGTGAATTTTGAAGAAGAAGAAGAAAATTCTCACTAATATGAATCTTTTGAATCTTTTCTATGTTTTTGCCATTTTTATATGCATACATGTATGATATATGCAATAATTGATATAGTTGTAAATTGAATAATGAATTTATTAGTAATTTCTGTTATAATACTTAAAATCTGTTGATTCCATGTTAAAAGAAAGAAAAGAAAAAAATAACAATAGAAAGCAAACAAATTTCAGAGACAGATATAAGCCTCAAAATGGCAAATCATGCCCTACTTTCCAGTAAGGAAGGATGGTACTAACAGTATCTATCTGTACATGGTAGATAGTAGCATCATATTAACCAAACAGAAAAATGTATCAGATAATATAAGATATTCTGGTCAAGTCCTCCTACCAACTTTTACTGGTGGCTCTGGTGCACTTTCATTTTCTTTTGAAAAAATGAATAGCAGACCTTTTTCTGTTTCCATACTTGATGATAAACAGTATAAAAGTCTACAAATAAATATTAGACACAATGTTTGTTTTGCAGGCTTTACGACATATAGTTTATGGATCACCATATCACTCCTTTAGTCGTGAGTGGAAGAAGTCTACGTTACAGTTTCAAGATATTTCTAGTCCATTTCCATGGGGACTTCAGACTCACAGGGTAAGAACAGTTAACATGTACCCTGTTATAATTATGAGTCTGTGACATAAGCAGATTGATTTATTCAACTCGATTTTGTTTTCAAAGTTATATATTGATGGCCCTGTAACGAAATGTAAGTGACATATTGTTTCACCCCTGTCTGTCAGTCTGTTCCACATACGATACATAGTTTGTCTTGCTAACTTCTCCTACAGTTATCAAGCTAGAACTTTTATATGATGTAAGGTGTTATTACATATACTAAAGGCGTGCATTTGATCTGGATTTTGATTTTCTCTAAATCTTCCACTAATAACAGAATGTTGAAGGTTTTAGAATGCTTGTGGCACTTATTTCCTGCATACAGCAGTGCATCATGTTTGTCTTGTTCAAGTCTTTAATGTTATATCAATGACTTTATAAAGTACAACAGTAAATATTCTGGTATTTGACATAGAATAGGGCTTTATGCTAATGAATGAACAAAACAGGACAATTTATTCTCTTTGTTCCTCTGTTCATCAATATATATTTATCCACTTCCACTCCTTAACCTGTGGAACAATGAAAATTTAAGAGATTCTTTCTATCCAATTATCTCTTCTCTAGAATTTTACCAGTAAAATGTAGAGCCTACAGAACATGACATTGTTAGCTGATTGTTCACCTATTAAGTGGCTGATTTTATGTCAATTGATTTCCTTTGTTAAAAGCTGTGAGGTAAAATCGGTTAAATGACATCATTGATTTCTTAAGCATGAAACAAAAGTCATAATAAACTAATAATTGATTCATTATAAGGCCACAAAAAAAAAAACTTGGTTTGCAGACATTTTTAAAAAGCAATAAAATAAACAGCCTTAACTTAAGCGATGATTTAGACATCAAAATGAAACAGAAATTTATGTTATGAAGAATCAAATCAAATATGTACATCACGTTATTTCTTCTCCTGTGTGATCTACTGGTCATGTGATTGCCTCTAGTACAAGAGGTTCTTCAGATTTCCTTTTAAGGTCAAACCAAAAAATCTTATATCAGTCATTCCCAAGGTCTGTCAGACGTGATAATGTCCAGTAATAAATGGTTCAGTCCAGTAAAATTTAATCAATTACTGGACCATATGACCAGGGCCAAATTTAAAAATATGTCTGTTTCCCCTCTCCCTACCCTACTTTCCAAAAGTGGGTAGGTAGGTAAAAAGATTTTTTTTATCCACAGAATTTTCTTCTGAAAAAGGGCGAATAAAATTAAAAAAATTTTCAGACTTTTATTCAATGACTAGATTTGAACATTTTGTTACTAAATTTTAATGTCTGACAGATACTGTCGAGAAGAAATGTCATTTTATTGGCATTCCCTTCTGCACACAGTTTCCGCAAACCGTCAACACTACTATATGATTTTTCATGAAGGTATTTTCATTACTTGTAGTATTTGATGCAGCACAATGACAGTGAATATCTGGTCGACCAACACTTGATGAATAGACAGGAAACTCAATATATGTTGAACATGACAAATTTAATTGTAATCGTACAAAACCTTTTCCCTACTAAGCATCTCCTGTAAAAAACAGAACACCATTAACAATACATACACGCAAGAAGAAAATGAAATATTTTGTAGAAATTCAGTAACAAAAATTAATATATGAAACAATGATATGGGAGAATGTTCCATTATCCTAGCTATATAGAGGAACCAGAAATTAGTTTGTTTGTATTTAACCTACCAGTTTAACGCCCTTCACCTTTTTTGTCTCGCCTTGACGGAGTCAAAAAGCGAGACATACGTATGCTGTTTCCGGCGTCGGCAGCGGCATCAACAATGTATTAGTTTGTGATAAGGTCTAGTTCATGCATATGGTGAACCACTAGTGGTAGGTCAATGATATTTGGTATACAGTTGTATTAGCATTGGCACATCTCATTACCATGGAGATTATTTGGCCCAGTCCCCTCAGTCAAGGTCTATTGACTTTGAAACTCTGCTTAGATTACATGTATTAGTTTGTGATTAGGTCAGTTTAATGAGAACCACTAGTGGTAGGTCAATGATATTTGGTATGCAGTTGTATAAGCATTGGCATATCTCATTTCCATGGAGATTATTTGGCTCCGTCCCCTCATTCATGGTCTATTGACTTTAAAACTTTTGCTTAGTTTTCATGTATTAGTTTGTGATTAGGTCAGTTTAATGGGAACCATTAATGGTAGGTCAATGATAATTGGTATGCAGTTGTATAAGCATTAGCACATCTCATTTCCATGGAGAATATTTGGTCCTTACCCCTCAGTCATGGTCTATTGACTTTGAAACTTTTGCTTTGTTTACATGTATTAGTTTGTGATTGGGTCAGTTTAAGATGAACCACTAATGTTAAGTCAATGATATACTGTATCCAAATTTATTGGCATTTGCAAGTTTCATTTCCATGGAGATTATATAACCCTAACCCCTAATTATGGTTCATTGACTTTGAAACTTTTACATAGTTTACAAGTTAATGTTTGTGTTTAGGTTTGTTTAAAGGGAACAACTTATGAAAAGTCAATGGTATTTGGTTTGCAGTTGTATTAGCATTGGCACATCTCATTTTCATGGAGATTGTTTAGCCCTGTACCTTCAGTCATGGTTCATTGACTTTGAATACTTGCATAACTTACATGTTAAAGTATTGCTATTTTTATTTCAACATTTGCATTATCAAAATAACAAATATGCGAGACATATCTCTGTGTTAACAGTTTATTTGAATCATGGAGACGTTGTTCACATACCCTTAAAAAAATTTGGGCAGGGGTTCCCCCTATCATAAAGGATTTCCCCCCTAAACTTAAACCAGGTTAATAAAAAAAAATAGCAAAGAGGAGATGGGAGAAGGTTCCCCTTATCCTAAAGGAACCAATCTCCTCTTTGAGAGAATTCATTAAATTTGCATTGAACATACCTGTAAAGTTTTCTGATGAGGCATCCTTTGGTGTAGGATTATATTTCTTTGTGTTGGAGGAATTCATCATTACAGCAAATACAGATTTTGTTGTTCCTAAAGTATTTGCATTTTTATGGTCTGTCAGACCAACATCTTCATCTCTGTGTACTGTATCAACTACACATTTTAAATTTTAATCAAACTCTTTGACTATTCTAATAGCCTCTTCAGTGTCATGTGTAAATGTTAATGTTCCCATAAGCTTATCACTCACACATAGTCTTACCGTGTGTGTTTTATGAAGTTTGTAGTTTTCAGTGTCTAAGAGATCATTCAGGGCATCGTTCCATGTTTCATACATTACATAAAGTAAACTTATTGCCACTATGTTGTCGTTTTTAGCCTGATGTAGACGACATTTTAAGCAGACAACTTACAGGTTTTCTCTCGGCATTTTACCTCAAATGTAAAGGCAATTCAGAGAAAAACTTTCCTGAACTTCCGGTCAACATAAAAACAAATCGGATCCAGAAATTTCGTTTCCGAAAGTAAAACCGAAATAAAAAAAAATGCAACAGAAAAAAGGGAATAAAAACATTTTTGAGTAGGCACGGTTTTCAGTGGGTCGGTCGGGCTAGGGGAAACAAACAATATTTTTATTGTGGCCCAGTGTAGATATTAGAATTTTGTAATACTCATACTGTAAAATACAACTAATACACTGAGTGGACCAGTTATGCTTGAACAGTGACTGGACCAAAAGACCACTGAGGCTCAAAAACCTGAGAACCTCTATTATATTTATATTTGCTGAGCTAGCAGCATTTAGGAGTAAGAGCATGGCTGGTCCTCCCAAAGTGCAAATAATTTGTGAAGATAGGGTACATGTTTCCTGCAGATTGTGACCTAATGAAGATAGGGTATACAATTTCCTGCAGATTGTTGCCTATCCATTCCAACAAATTTTGTTTCTTCACATTTTTCTCAGAACCTCATTATGATAAGTCAATGTGGTACTGTGGATTCATTTAGTTTCGTGGATTGAGGAAAACTTACATGATCATGGATATTTAATGTCGTGGTTTTGCTAAAGTCTGTATACAAGCCTGTAGAAAATATGTCATTAGTTGAACATTTAATTTAGTGGTTCAACTGTACCCAAGAAATCCATGAAAATTGGTACCCATCGAATAATAATGAATCCACAGTATGCTGTTTTATTAACACTGTCATATATTATTTCCATTGAGATCATTTGGACCTGTAGATTCAGTTATGGTTTATTGACGATGAATGTTTTGCATATTTTACACGTTTTTAAAGTATTGTAGTTTCGATTTCAACATTTGCATTTTACTATCAAAATAACATACAAGAAAGACATATCTCTATTTATTGAAAATGAACTTAAACATTTTCAACACTTTAGACAATTACTCTCTGTTTTCCAATGTATTGAATTACATTGAGTTGGGGGTATGCTAAACATGACAACGTGTGCATTTTAGTTTACAAACCCATCAATAAATCAATCACTTGTGTAATATATCACTTTTTTTAATCATTAATTTGTTTTTTTATCAGGAAGTTAATCAGGTTTAGCAAGGTAATTAAAGTAAAACATTTCACCTTGATATGTATGCACTTCAAAATTTTGCAAAGAATTTCACTGTTTGGATGGTTAGTATAGGGTTGGTTCTTTTTTCAATATCTGCAAGAGGGTTTAAATGATGTTTTGCATTAACTAGAAAAATCAGGTAATGAAACTTGAATTGAACATTGTTTATTACCTTATATCAATCAATGAAGTAATTATAATACAAAGAAACAAATAATATTAGAAAGAATAGACAGTATGTGCAGATTTTAATAGTTTTAATATAAGTTTACTTATGAGAATTTTTTGTTTTCATATTCTCTTTTGGGATCTTTGTTGTTTGTTGCTGACATTTTTTATTTTCCTAAATATTTTGTTACCTTTCTGACCTTTTTTTAATGCAATTTATTTTTCAAATTTTTGCCTTGCAACCACTTTTTTCTCATATTTATTTTAAAACACACAAACAGCAATGGTTGTTTCATTGTAAATTGCTGACCTTGAGTGAGGGAGGTCATGGGTTATTATCCTGTCACTTACAAATCTTTGATATTTAGATGCCTTATTCCTATTTTACAGAAAAGGGCTTAAATTATGAAAATGTTTTTATTTTGATTTCAGCTGCAAACAATGTTAACTTGTGTGAAACAAAAACCAAAAAATGTAATAAATAAAAATATCAAATTGTAATTGTTCAAATCTTGGTCCTTTGTTCGGAATGTATAGTTGTTTCATTGGCAATCATACCATATATATGTACCACATCATCTTATTGTTATATAGTAAAAATACAAAACTGAAGAAGATATTGTAGGAAGTTCTTTCCCTACAACAAGGAATAATTAGAATATAATTGGTAAAATGAAGTGTGTCACCATTCCAATACTTTACATATATACATTGTACTACATTTACAAAAAATAGTACAAAAGTTTTGCATTGGAAATTTGATGAAAACCTAGTTATTATTGAATTAATTTTAAAGCACCAAATGATTATATTTTAATAAAAGCCATCATTAAACTTAAATAACTTTGGTATGTTAAGGGCATTATGATAATACTATATTTTTATACTTTCAGTGTGGATCTCGTGGTTTGGTGCTTTGTGTGCAAGCATTTTTATTGAAGCATTTAATTTTTGAAAGAGAATACTTTTCTGTGGAACTTGCAAGAAGGTATTTTTTTACAGTCAGGATTCTACTTTGTCAACATTATCTACTAATTACGCCACCTAATTTTTCAATCATAAAAAAATGGAAGCCATTGCAGGAATGACACTCTGTCAATTTAGTGCTTGAGAACCGATAAATTTATCCATACAGCATCATTACAATCCTTTTGAAATAATACATTTTTAAGATCCACTTGCAAAGTCTGTCGCCAAGTAGTTTTAGTAAAAAAAAAATGTTATTCTAACACACCTACTCTGTTGTTATGACTCATTAGAAAGGTTTTTCACTTGACCCACATATTTCATTTTTTATTACTGTGAATTTCATGGTATTATATCAACTTGTAGCCTTGAAATATAAAAATAGTAGAATCTGAAGCGAGGTGATGTATCAAATATTTTTGCTTTATACGTTTTCAAATCAAAATAGTCAATTAGACATGCCTGAACTTAAAAAGGTGTACTCTTACTTTACCTTTTCCATGAAATTATTGCCCATTTTTAGGATTTTTATGCCCTGGCCGCAGCGGAAGGGGCATTAAGTGTTGCCCTTGTCCGTCTACGTCTGTAACTCTGTACGTCCCGAAATTGGTTTCCTTTAACTTTAGTTTGCCTCAATCAAATAATATGAAAATTATACACAATGCTTATTACCACAAAACTCAGATCAAGTTTGAATTTGGATGGGCAGAGATGCAAATTAATGCTTTAAAAAGATCATTTTTTTTATCTTTTTGAGGAATTTTTTTCAGCGGAATTTATGCTTATGCACAGAAATGATTCATATGTATTTGCACCTACCACAATCGACAGTTTTGTGAAAATTTGTCTTTAATTAAAAAGTTTACAAATATCTTGAAGCTCCATACTATAATTTAAGTAAAAACACATATATAAGATGCATAAAATCATAAATTATGCACCTACATTAAACTTTTAAAGTCAACAGAAACAGATGTAAATAATTCAAATATACCAACTTGGCCTTATTTACCTTCTCTAATAAACAGTTCAATTTCTTTTGTTTAATTTCAACTGAGTATCAGTCTGGTAAATGTCTTTTTGAGTAAAATTTCACCACACAAAACGTTCTGATTTCTTGTGCTTAATGATTTACCTTTTACATGTATATATATAATCTCCCTATAATCATCACAAACTTTATAAACTATTACTGAAAAGTAAAAATGTAATCTTAAGATTTGGACAAATTGATAACATATGTTTGTTACCAGTTTTCTGTTTTATACTAGAACACACCCGCGATATCGCAGAACCGGGACTGAATTAAAGTACCTACGCCTTATTTTTAGTAATCGTATTATCATCTGATAAAGTTATGTTGATTATCAGGTGCAGTTTTCTCTGCTTTCAAAATCTTGTTCTTTAACATCTATACTACTAAATCTAAAGACAGTTTTTTGTTCACCTAATAAACGTATAACCCAAGAAAGCTACTGCTTACATTAGACCGGAAAATATAATGACATGACTAAAAGGAAATCGCATCGGATAGTTCCGGAACTTATAAATTTGTCTAATTGCTTATTGTTTCAAACAGTAATCGATGTAAAAGGTTAAAATTTTCAGTATACCCTATCAAGTATATATACCCTTCTATAAGTTTGACTTGTAGCTTTCTTCAGTTATACGTTTATTAGGGGAACAAAAAACGGTCTTTAGATTTAGTAGTATAGATATGTATATAATCAATCAATCCAAAAGAATAAATGGAAAAAAAATCATGTAGATTTTTTTTTATTGATAATGTGGAGAGACAGAGAGATCTATATCAAACAGAAAAAACAAACATTCTGAAAAATAGTGTTTAATTTTGACCCCAGTAACAGTCTAAGGGAGGTAATTACAACCATCCCATATTATATGTTTCACAAAAGTTGATATTACGTGTTAAAAAGTATCAAATCTAAAATATTGTATTTATTGTAGTGTCTATTTCAACGACAAATACTTCTTATCTTGCAATCCTATTAACATTTAAGTATTTAGAAAATGTTTAATGACCAGGTCTTGTCTATTATTTTTCAATGATTCATAATCTTGGAATATTCTTTACAGTGCCTTAAAACCAAATGAATTTGAGAGAAAACGTGCATTAATTGGTGCTATATGTGAGATGTTATGGGCAGCAGGTGAAAAGAAACGGTGCTGTATATGTCTCTTACAAGAGGATAGGTGTTATGATAAAGATTATCGTGTTAGAGATGATGGGATTACTGAGAAGGTATGAATTATATCCCCTAGCTTTAACATAGCAACAATTACAGTATCATATGATTATGAATTGAGAATGTTTCATATTTGTCAATGAGACAGCAACTAAACAACACAAGTAAACTAAAGCAAATATCCTAAATTAGATGGTGTAGACATTTGTCTATTGATAAAGACTGAAGGCTGATCTCTATATGAGTTTCTAATTTCATATTGTTTGTGAGTTGCTGACTCATCAAGATCTCTATATGAATTTCTAATTTCATATTGTTTGTGAGTTGCTGACTCATCAAGATCTCTATATGAATTTCTAATTTCATATTGTTTGTGAGTTGCTGACTCATCAAGATCTCTATATGATCTCTATATGAATTTCTAATTTCATATTGTTTGTGAGTTGCTGACTCATTAAGATCTCTATATGATCTCTATATGAATTTCTAATTTCATATTGTTTGTGAGTTGCTGACTCATCAAGATCTCTATATGATCTCTATATGAATTTCTAATTTCATATTGTTGGTGAGTTGCTGACTCATCAAGATCTCTATATGATCTCTATATGAATTTCTAATTTCATATTGTTTGTGAGTTGCTGACTCATTAAGATCTCTATATGATCTCTATATGAATTTCTAATTTCATATTGTTTGTGAGTTGCTGACTCATCAAGATCTCTATATGATCTCTATATGAATTTCTAATTTCATATTGTTTGTGAGTTGCTGACTCATCAAGATCTCTATATGAATTTCTAATTTCATATTGTTGGTGAGTTGCTGACTCATCAAGATCTCTATATGATCTCTTTATGAATTTCTAATTTCATATTGTTGGTGAGTTGCTGACTCATCAAGATCTCTATATGATCTCTATATGAATTTCTAATTTCATATTGTTGGTGAGTTGCTGACTCATCAAGATCTCTATATGAATTTCTAATTTCATATTGTTGGTGAGTTGCTGACTCATCAAGATCTCTATATGATCTCTATATGAATTTCTAATTTCATATTGTTGGTGAGTTGCTGACTCATCATGATCTCTATATGATCTCTATATGAATTTCTAATTTCATATTGTTGGTGAGTTGCTGACTCATCATGATCTCTATATGATCTCTATATGAATTTCTAATTTCATATTGTTGGTGAGTTTGCTGACTCATCAAGACATATACTCTACATCATCTTTTAGTCTTACCTGTGATGTCACAGTGTTAATTAGATTTTTTTACCACTCGTCAAATTGGATGAGTAACATGGGAACTACTCACCCATTTTAAGTTCCACTAGCCCAACAATTTGAGGTGTCTTTTTGTTGAACTACAGAAAGGTAAATTACACAAATTGAACAGGATATTGATTTTCTGCTAAATCTTTTATTTTTCTGCTCTGTCTTTAACATTTTTGTGTTTTTGTTGTAGCCTTGTTCTTTATCATGCATATGTTATGTTGTACAAGTCCTTGTATCATAATAATCTATAAAAGAAATCAACACTTTTGGGGTTAAAAAGTTCTAGAGAAAGTAATTTTTTTATTAAAAAAAACAGCCCTCCCCATATATGAAATAAACATGTCTAAGAACATTTTATACAAATATATCGTGCTTACAAGGGGTATTTGCCAAAAATACCGGTTGAGAGGTACAAATTTCCAGAGCCGTTAGGCGAGGGAAATTTGATTACCTCGAAACCGGTATTTTCGGCAAATACCCCTTGTAAGCATGGTATAATTGTTTAATTCCACCGAATGTTCTTTGTATCCATCTTGACCTCAGAAAGTTTATTGTAATCAGGTATCATATGGAGTTTCTACTTGAATGTATAATTTTTGTATATTCTGCAGCTGTCCTATTTGCGCAGACAAATTGCATTGGCCGTAAAATCATTTCTGATCATTTTTGATGTACAGTCACTGACCGTATATATATATATATATATCCCTGTTTATGATAAGCTGGTTCTCGGCTGACTACTACACTTTCTTCATCAGTTTGAGTGAAGCGTAATACAAGCGGATTCCAGTTTATGTTTATGACAGGTTGACAATGTGTTTCCGTTGAGTTTTATTTATGACGTCATTAAAAGTACAGGTTCGCGGAATTTTGACGTCATTCGCTCCTAATTTATTTACGATGTTTTTTATCCTAAATATTTCACTTGGAACCGTATATTAAGAATGACCATAAATTTGTCCTTTTAGATTACAAATAATTCATTGGGTTATTTTTAGACATGGTATTCCCCATCTGCCATGGTATTTGCTAGCAAATACCCTGGCACATGGAATTCCCTAATGACAAATACCTCGGCAGAGAAAAGAAAATCTCAATACATAGAAATTGGTGAAAAATACCATGTCTCTCATCCAATCAAAATACAGCATTATTACATAAGGTGGAATTATCTCAGATAGTTCATTATCATAATCATTTGGCTCAGATATCTGAATTATTTATAAAAAAAAAGTCACAAATTGATCAACCATTCAGTATGATCTTGTTTCTAAATTAGGAAACTGTACTTCTGGAAAAAGCACTGTTATTAAAACGTTTAACAATGAGCAAATATTCTCTTTAAATGGTTCATCAAATGCCCCAAATAACCTGAAATATAGTCATAACCCCAAAAATCATACAAACGGTAGATAACTCAGCATAATTAGGATGGGTCAAACTTACATACAAATAATCCACTGTTCGTGTCTGAAGGTTTTAGCATACATTTACAGATAATTTGCGAGTAATTGTTTGCATAATAATTTTGCTTATGGCCAAGTGGCAATTTTGAAGATGAGGATTTCTTATCAATCAGTTTCACAATAATTTAGTGTTAGGTTTTATATAGTGAATGAATAGAAAACAATGGGCACACAATTGTGACTTGAAACCCATTATACAATAATCTGAGAATGGTAAATTGATCTAATGATGTTGTGTCTTAGAGTAATAAGGGTTCAAAGAGGGGTCCATTCTCCAAATGACAGTGTTTGTAGATACCTTTGAAATGTACATAATAACTGTCATATAAGTATCTTCCTTTGTACTTCTCACATTGTTAGACCATTTAAGTATTGTTTCATGTTATTTAATCTCAATATTTTGACTGATGAGTGAGTTTGCTGTTGGAATGTTATAATTTTATAAGGTCTTGTTTTGATTAATGCTTTCTTCATATTATTTGAATGATAAGCTAAAGTTATGTTGACATGTCAAATCATTCATGAGCCATATTTTGAAAACAACAGGAAAATAAAAAGTGAGGAAATAAATAAGTATAAATCAACATCTGTAATTTTAATTTATGATATATATACTTTTTTGATATTTCAGTTGTTTTTATATGAGTTCAAGAAATTCCAGGATCTTCAACTGTTTGTGAAAAGGAACATCGAATTTGTGAGTAACATCTTCAATTGAATTATACTTTTTTTGAATTCAAAAATCAGGCCAATTATCAATAAACGTAATGCAGTGGTTTCCCCTTTGTTGTTGATGTGTTACAATTTCGTGTCTGTCTACACCATATCTGCTATAGCATATGATTATATATAATTATTCACAATGTAAAGGTTTTTTGGGGTGGAATAGGTATAGCCTTTTGTCCATTCATTGATTTTTGCATAGTTTACATGTTAAAATATTGCCATTTTAATATCAACATTTGCATTATACACAAATGTACTATGAAAAATTACATACAGGCAAGAAATATCTCTGTGTCAACAGTTTATGTACAAATGTATAATGAGAACTTACTCCCTGAAATATCTAGTCCTTGCTTAGTCATTTGTTTGTCGAGCTTGCAACATTTATGTTGCATAAAAAAGACATAGCAATCTTCTATTCCGTCCATGGCTTCCAAAACAGTCATATATTCCGGACATTTATAAATTTACCAGACATTGTCCATCTGGGAAAAACATGAAACGGACATCTACTTTTAGTTTTCAAGGCTTTCTTAAGATATGGTCATTTTAACATAATTCAAAAATAATTGGAAGTTTATGCGATCTTTATGACCCAACCTTTTGCCTTAAACAGCAACACATTTCCAGTCATAAAATTAACATGATGAATAAGTACTATCAAAACAAACCCTCCTTTAATACCTTCTCATTTTAATCAAGGTTAATGAGTTGTCGGACATCTGAAATTTACCTGTTCAGGCGACAGGTAAACTATTTTGTACCAGACATTGATCGGTCTATTCAAAGTTGTTTTCTTACATTTCAGCGGTTTGCATCTAATTAATTTATTCAAAAAGATTGAAATTATCAGAAATACGTTTATATATATGATTTGATGAAAAATTTAAAAAGGGTTTTAAAACGAAAAATCGTCAGAACCACGTTGTTTGAACTAGTACACGTGTATGCAGCTGGGAAATTTAATTATGCATCCTAATTCTTCAAAAATGCTAAAATTATCATTGATACCTTTATCTAACGTTCATTTCGAGTATTTTCTTGAAGAAATACCGTGGAAAGAGCTACTTAAACTCAATCTTGCTTTGTAAACTTACACAGATTTTACGTATCCGTCTCCGGTCCATGTTTAACCATTGTCATGTCAACATCCGGTATTAGGAAAATGTGCTTTTTAAAAACAAAAGTAAAGTTTTTGACAACGTTATTTTGCACAAATAAAGAATCTAAGGCAGATATTAGTACGCTGATGTTGCACACTTCGAATGATGCACTGTCAATTTAACAGTTTACGTCAGAACATCGAATTTATATCAACGTAAAGTTTAATATCGTTATTTTAATGTCAATCATTGGTTATATGATGGCCAACTGATTACCATAATTGCCTTTTGTTACTAAGTCTTAAGGGATTAAAATCGGGATAAGACATATAATGTCATGCTGGCTCAAATATTTTTTGGAAGCCCTGATTCCATCAGTGGCGGCGTGGGTGACGTAACATTTAGGTTCAGTTTGTGGTTAAAGTATTTTTAGACAATAACTTTGTCAAATCTTCATGGAATTTTATGAAATTTGTACAGATGGTTGTTTTTCACCAAAAGACAGTATCCAGAGCTAAATTTTGAAAATATTTATTTCCATTTTTCCATATTTTACTGATAAATGGACTAAATAGGATTTTTTTACAGGTAACATTGAGATTCAGTCTGAAGTTAAAGTTTTTCAGTCATCAATAACTTTGTCAAACCTTCATGGGGTTTTATGAAATTTGGACAGAAGCTTGTTTATGACCAAAATACAGTATCCAGAGCAAAATTTTTAAAATATTTATTTTCATTTTTCTGTATTTTACTGATAAATAAACTTAGTTTTTTTACAGGTAACATTCAGATTCAGTCAGGGGTTAAAGTTTGTTACACATCAATTACTTTGTCAAAGCTTCATAGCTGATAGATGATTTAGTTTTTTACAGTTAACATTTACAGACAGTCTGGGATTAGATTTTTTTGACATGATAAATTTGTAAACTTCATGGCTTGTTATGAAAGTAGGACAGAAGCTAATCTTCAAGACCAAGAAATAGCATATTAAGAAAAAGTTTGATTTTTTTTTAAATTCTGTATTTTACTGATAAATAGACTCACTTTTTAAGTCAACATTTCACTTTTACACTGGCAGCAGCAATCGCAGGGGAGACAAAGGGTTCTGTGGAACCCATTACAATTTTTTATTGATATTATAGTTTTCAATTGCTTTAAACTAGTGACTTGGTGTGAGAAAAAAATTGTTAGATACTATCTCTTGAATATATTTGTTCTACACCTGCTTATTGTGAAATTTTAACTTGATGTCTTTCAGTTCCAATCAGATGGGAGTAATGGATGTATATGTTTTCTTTATAGTTTAGCTCTGTCTAGAACTATCTTTAAGTAAGTCTGTGAATGTTAGTACTAAACACATCAGTATTCCATACACACATTTAAAAGAAAAATACAGTTGACTCAAACATAACAAAAATATGCTTATCAGTATCATGACTCAGTTACATCAGCTCTTTCATAGGGAAATAATTCTTAAAGCTGAGGAATACCAATATTGTAAGAGTAAATTGAACAGAATGTATAAAAGGTGTTAGCAACATAGACAAAAGGTGAAACAAGTTGTCAGTTGGAGATTGTTGGTTTAAAGTATTTAAAAACAGCTGTGGTAAAAAGTTAAAGTAACCAACTATGCAAGACCCTAGTGTGTAGTCAATGTTGTTTAACTTCCCCATAGTCCAAAGGAAAATATGTATTCCCTGCCACTGTTGTGTATGCAGTGTATACCAGTCATTGTAAAGACTGCTTCTTTAAGCTTAGTTAACTTTCTAGTTGTGTTTGTATTTTAGCGTTGAGTATTATAGATTATATGTGTCATTTAATCTTTTTTTAACCAGGAAAAAATTAACCATTATCCTGTAATGAGGTGTGGCTAAGAATTAACCTGCCTGTGGGCAAAGGGAGATAACTTAAATTATATAGCTAAGTGAGAGATTTGAATGTATTAGAACAGACCTATAACTTAAATATTTTATAGAATAAAAGAAGATATACAGTTTACAGAAGACAGTAAAGACAAACTGTTGACAGACAATGAGGAGTGTTCACAAGCTCTTATTAATTTGTTACTGACGGGACAGGCAGTCAAACATCTACACAATGGAAATATGGTGTATAATCAGTTTGGTAAAATGCTGGTAGGTCACATAACATTAACCACTTGATCTAATTAAAATAGGGACGAAAGATACCAGAGGGACAGTCAAACTCATAGATCGAAAACAAACTGACAACGCCATGGCCAAAAATAAAAAGACAAACATACAAATAATAGTACAGATGACACAACATAGAAAACTAAAGACTAAGCAACACGAACCCCACCAAAAACTGGGGGTGATCTCAGGTGCTCCGGAAGGGTAAGCAGATCCTGCTCCACATGTGGCACCCGTCGTGTTGCTTATGTTATTACAAATCCGGTAAATAGTCTAATTCGGTAAGTCACATTCGTGAAAAGGGAAGGGTATTGTAGTTACGACATAAGGAACATATCCGATATCATCTGTGAAACGGTTATTCCATAACGGTCAACCAACTCGTGATGGCGTCCGTAAAATTTACGAAGTGATGACTTCAACTTCACCATTTGGAACTCTTGGTTTAATAGCTTCCTTGTGAGCAGCAATCCTCTATCAAGGAAATCATGATAGGAAACACAAGCCTGGGAATATCGTATCAATTGGGAGATATATACTCTGTATGCAGGCGCTGCTGGAATGTTGCTACATAGAAATGGACAGTTCACAATTGGGAAGCTGAAATCATCTCTTTTGTCGTAAAGTTTTGTTTTCAACCGACCCTCATTGTCAATTTCTAGATGTAAGTCAAGAAATGAGGCAGACTTAACTGTATCTGTAGTATCCTTTATCTCTAGTTCGATGGGATAGATTCGTTCAACATAGTCACTAAATTTTGTATTATTTAGTGAGAGAACATCATCTATATAGCGGGAACGGAAGGTAGAGTTAATTGGCTGCATATGTCATTGTTTATACACAAAGTCAACATATATCATTGTTTATACACAAAGTCAACATATATCATTGTTTATACACAAAGTCAACATATATCATTGTTTATACACAAAGTCAACATATATCATTATTTATACACAAAGTCAACATGTCATTGTTTGTACACATAGGTCACATATGTCATTGTTTATAAACACATTACATCAATACATTAATGGGGTGGTTTTCCCTTGATTTTGAATTTGTAAGCTAGCTTTACAAATGGTTTCCAACAAAAAAAAAGAGTATTTATGATAAGGGCAAATGAAAAAAGTATAAATTAAGTGTGTAAGATAATCAACAAAACCCAACAACACACCTACACCAAAAATAGAATAAAGAGGTTACCATAAGTGATGATACAAGTGTCCGCTCCATGTTGACAGCCTTTACTTTTCAGTTCTCCAATAGGATCAAAGATATTTGTTGCACATGCTTGCAGGCACCAATTACCCATAGTTAATGGAAACAAAATGTAGTCCTAAAGCTAAACTTATAAGATATAATATATAGTCTTTGTAATGCTACTGGTTAACAACTTTTATTCATGAGGTGTCAGTTTTTCAGGAATTTTTAGTTTATCAAAACTTTAAATTACAGTATCAAACCAAGAAAAAACATAACTATCATAGATGAAATGATATATAAACAATGAGAATTTAGAATCTGTGAATAAAAGTATTTGACAGTCAAGTGTTCAGGTTTCTCAATGTTTTATTGCATTTTGCTGTACTGCTTTCTTAGAGGGAAAGAAAAAACTAAATCAAAACTTAGAATGTATGTCACTTATATTAAATAAAGTACTATTTTTTATTGTACAGGATTTATCAGTAAGTAATTTTGCTTACAATCAAAGCTTATAGAAAGATATATTTACTAATTACTCCCTATCTTACTTGTGACGAGACATAGGTGTTATTTTTCTGTCGTCCTCAGCACCATTTATTAAGTTCTGAATAGTATTGTTTCAAGATAAATTCTTCTGGTTCATCAATATACAGTATGCATCTTCACCCATACATTACAAAGTTGTACAGTACAGAATGCTCCAATGGCTCAAAAAGCATGATAATGAATAGGTCATGCCTTACATGACCTTGGAATTTTTTAATTGCTCAAATGGAAAATTTTCTGATTAGAAGTGCTTATAAATAGTATGCATGATAAACCATTGGCAGAAAAAAGTTTTTTTGATAAGCCATTGATAGAAAAAAGTATTTTTGATATGCCATTGATAGATAGTATGTTGTGGCATGATCATGTATAACGTGAGGGTACCCAAATTGCATCTATTTTGACAGTTTTTTTACCTACGTTTTTTTATGATCCAGACAAAAGTTTCCATTCTGTGTTTATTTTGTAGACGTATCCTTATTTACTAAATAGTTACACTAATTTAATTTTGAATCCATATTGATTCATAGAAAAATGGGTTTGAACCGACCTCCAAACGATCCATGATTCTGTAATGAGGAGTACCCAAATTGCATCCATGTTTAAATTCACATCCTTAAAAATTGAATAACAGATGTTTTGTTTTATTTCTTCAAATATTTTTGAACAATGGACATTATTCCATGCTTTCTATTCATTTTTTAAGAAATGGATGCTTGTAACAGGTTTAATTAGCTATTTTTTATAAAAATGACATTTTGAGAACGTCGCTTCTGTAGATTTACTTTTTCCTGGGAATGCTTCATCTGTTGATATATACTGTGAACATTTTGTGTATATTTAAATATATTTATCTATGTTGAAAGACGTGTATAATGTCAAATCATAAAAATACAAACTGTTTAGTCTCAAAGAAAACTTGTAAGATTTCTGCAGCTATTTTTGTTGAATAGGTGCAATTTAGGTACTCGGTGCAATTTGGGTACTGTGACTTTACATAATGGTTTCAATGTGGATATAAGGCTTCACTCAGTCAGTCATATTTCTGGCACTGGAAATCTTAGATTGATCAAATGTTAGTTATCTAATTAGGTGAGTTTGTTAGAGAATTCTCAACTTGCAATAAATATCTGTTCTTCTGTTGCATTAGTATTCTTTCATTTCAAGCAGAATATGAGGCTTCAACCCATTTGTTGTGCTTCAGTTATTTTGTAGTTTTGCGTAATTGAAATGTTTTGTTTTTTGATTAGCAGATTCTTATACAAGACCATTGATATTTGGTACGTTGTATCAGTGCTCAAAAGCTTAAAGGAAAATGTAAAAAAAGACGGCAATCAAAAACTATTATTCAAAGGAAAACAGGCAACACCATGGACAAAAGATAATAGTCCACAAAATACCACAAAGAAAACTAAAGATTAAGTACCGTGAACAGGTAACATGAATCCCCACCAAAAACTGTGGTTAAAACTGAACCCTTCAAGCAATGCATTAGTGAATTGAATTTTAAAAATTGTTCAAATGTTAATTTTTCTGATTTGATGCTTTGGTTTATAAGAGTACTTTTACTAAAGCATTTATATTAGGTTTGATGTTGCAGCAGCATCCCTTCGTTTAATTTTATTAAGATACTGTTTTAAAAATGCCCAAAGGCAGGCAAGACATATCTCTCTCCGCTTACAGTTTTATTATGAAGTAGATATCTGCCTGATTTCACATATTTCGAAATTTCCTATCCTCACAATGTCAACTAGCTAACATTACTGTCAGCTTAACCAGCAAAATGCTGTAGTTCTTAATATACTGAACCTTTAAATCATAAAGAACTATAAAATAACACTATAATTGGCCACTCTTACAGCAGAACTAGGAAGTACTAGTATTAGTTTTATTTTTTAGGAAAGATTATTCTAATCTGAAAAATGAAATGATGAACTTTCAGACATAAAGTATAAACAAAAGCTTATTGATGACTTTTTAGCCAGCTGTCATTACAGCTCATTTTGTGTAAAGGACTTTTGCCATTATAACTACTTGTGATTTTAAACCTTTATCTTAGATGATCAGAGTTATCTTTCCTTGATTCCAAAACTCTGCAGATAAAATGTTATATATTTTCAATGATCTAGGTAATTGAATATTGATGAATTGAGGCAAAGTTTCTGAGTATTTGCTAACCTCTCTTACTGGATATAAAATGATCATTGTGTGCTAACCTCTCTTACTGGATATAAAGTTATCATTATGTGCTGTGGAATCTCTTATTTTCGTGAGTACCAATTTTTGTGGATTGAGGAAAACTTGTATTGTCATTAGTATATGATTTCCCGGTTTTGCAAAGGTCTACACACAAGCCTATAAAAAATTTGTAATTTGTTGAACATTAAAATTTTGGTTTACCCGTACCAACAAATCCATGAAAATTGGTATCCCATGAACAATAACGAATCCACAGTATAATTGGTATCCAATGAATAATAACAAATCCACAGTATAATTGGTATCCCATGAACAATAACGAATCCACAGTATAATTGGTATCCCATGAATAATAAGGAATCCACAGTATAATTGGTATCCCATGAATAATAAGGAATCCACAGTATAATTGGTATCCCATGAATAATAACGAATCCACAGTATAATTGGTATCCCATGAATAATAACGAATCCACAGTATAATTGGTATCCCATGAATAATAACAATCCACAGTATGATTGGTATCACAATAATATCCACAGTATAATTGATATCCCATGAATAATAACAATCCACAGTATAATTGGTATCACAATAACAATCCACAGTATAATTGGTATCACAATAACAATCCACAGTATAATTGGTATCCCATGAATAATAACGCATCCACAGTATATTTGTTCCTTTATCTGTCTTTACACTCTAACCCCAATGCTTCCTTCAATACCATTTTGAGTTCTTATTAAATTTTATAAGGAGGGGGAATGTATGTCCCCCTAATAAACTTGTCAAAAGGGCCTATATGTGAAACTTATTACTCTACCTGGGAAGTTTTCTTTTTCTGGGGTAGTTAAAACTTTCTACCCCTTCTCCTGGGCTGCTCATTTTGCTGAACAAATGATATACCATCTTTAAATATGCTTGAAATATTTGCCACTGAATCATAAGCAAGCCAGAGTCAGTTATCGTACTTAATATTCCATATACTTATAGATTATTGTTGGTCATCTCAACGAGATTGATTTTCTTGCTTGAGCCCGTACGGCGAAAGTGAGAAAAGCAATCGAGCTGAGATGACCAATGATAATCTGTTTTTCCCTATTTTACCTATGACGACGTTGTTAATTTCATTGACAAAGGCACGTGCGCCCTTAGTTTCTAGCGATAATTTTTCATATCACTCTACTGTGCGGAGAAAGGCAATTATCAGTCAGTAAGATCAAAGGAAAATTTCGTAAAATAGCGATAAAAGAAGTTAATGATACTTTCAACTTTTAGATTGGCTATGAAATGGGGTATATCAATTTTGAATATACGAGGATTTGTACAACTTGAACCACATTAATTTTGTTGGTGTTGCTTTGGTGGTTGTTTTGGTACAGTGCTTTAAAGGGTTCTTGGACTTTATCTTCTATAGCACATATTCATGCACCAATATAGTTTAAGCACCAATTAATTCTCTTGAAGATTTCTTATAACTTCTTCAATTTCTTAATGGACAGGTGTATTATATTGGTGAAATTATTAATATTTCTTACATAGAATTCTCTTTAAATTGTACTTTTAGCTTATCATTATCATCAAATCGGGACAATAGCTGTAAAAATAAGTTTTGAACACAGTTTGATAAAAAGCTTTAACCTTGTTTATTTATGTTTTAGTTCTAGCATGGTAGATACATTTTTATTATTTTTATATATAATTATATTGAAAACATTAGATTTTTACTATACAGACCTGGTTTTTTATGATCATTAGATAAAAATGATGAGTAGAATATAGTTGTTGCTTTGTCTGTTAGACAGTCCAAATGTATTTAAAGGCTTCAAGATGATATCTTCAAGAGATAACAATTCATAAATGATTTTATATTGTGGTAACTAATACCAAACATAGAAAATGAAAATAAAACCATGTTGTTTAGAGAGGGATGTTTTATTTCTCTCTAAATATCATTCCCTATTTAACAAATAACTAAAAGTTGAAATATGATTTTCATCTGCATAATAGAAATATTAGAATTGATGAGAATTTATGATAAAAGAATAATAACAAATACATTTATTGCCAATAGTCATCAAAATATATACTATATTCATCAGTGCATGCGTTATTCCCGAAAAATAAATTGAAATTGATAGAATTACTGCATTCTCAACTTGATTAGTGTTAACCTTAAAGTACATGTCTAAATACAGATAAAGGGTCTACTACATTCCAAAACTCCAATATATCCATTTTATAGCCGACTATACAGTATTGGTTTGTCTCATTGTTGAAGTCCATACTATTGCCTATAATACCTTACATCCACTTCATTTGAACTTTGGTGGATACATCTCTATATAGATTTACATATTAGATATAGAGATTTCTGCGTTTTAAAATTGATATATTAAAAAGAGAAGTAAAACGAGTACCATCATACAATCTATTCTGTGTAAAGGTTGAAAATTTCTATTTTCATTTGTAGATGAAACCTTTGAAAGGTATTAAACAAAGAAGTCATGTAGGATTTTTATTCTGGGACAAAACTGAAGATTCTGATGCAAAAACTGAGGTATATTTAAAGAATTGCATAAAACTATGTAACATTTTTATCTTTATATTTTAATTTGTATGTGTTTGATGCTCAGTTTTAGTATAAAAAAAGGGGGGCTAATATTTACAAGGCTACATTTTAACAAAATTGTATTTTTTATATCCCTGCTTTAAAAAAGTGGTAGTATACTGTTTTACCTCTGTCCGTCCTTCCGTCAGTCCATCTTTCAGTCCATCCGTGAGTCTGTCCGTCCCATGAATATTTTCGTCGCATTTTTCTCAGGAACTACTTGACAAGGATTTCTGAAATTTGGTTTCAGGGTTTATATAAGTAAGTTACACCGTGTGATGCGTTTTCAGATTCATCACTCAACCACTTCCTGTTTACCGAACACTTGTATTATTTTACACATGATAGCCAAGTTGAAAATTTTCTTCACATTTTTCTCAGGAACTACTGGACAAGGATTTCTGAAATTTGGTTTCAGGGTTTATATAAGTAAGTTACACCGTGTGATGCGTTTTCAGATTCATCACTCAACAACTTCCTGTTTACCGAACACTTGTATTATTTTACACATGATAGCCAAGTTGAAAATTTTCGTCACATTTTTCTCAGGAACTACTGGACAAGGATTTCTGAAATTTGGTTTCAGGTTTTATATAAGTAAGTTACACCGTGTAATGCGTTTTCAGATTCATTACTTATTATCTTCCTGTTTACCGAAATATTTCGGCGGGGGTATCATCAGTGAGCAGTAGCTCACAGTTTTACTTGTTTTTTTTACAATTGAAAGCTACAATTAGGTATAAACATTCTGAGATGTATGGTTCTAACCTGAAGATTTCATAAGCAGACAAAGTGTATTGCTTATTGTTAAATTATCTTTATCATATTACTGTATTCTTTCACTTGTTTCAGGTTGGTAGCATGTTAAAGACTCCAAAGTATCCTATGTGGATAACAAACATCAATGGACAGATTGGCCTTTTGTTCAGTATTAACCTAGATCTAGTCAGTGATTGGAGGATAGAAAATAGATTTGTTTTATATTACTATACTGGCTTGCCAAACCATCCAAAATGTTTTCTAAATATTGGTAAGTGTTGTATTACCACAGTAGCTTGCCCTGTCATGCAGAATTTGTTAATTTGAACAAGTGTTTAATATTAAAAATGTTTGCTAACAAAAACAAACTTAAGATTAATGATATTTTTGTAAACCTCTTTTAAGAATTTAAGAATAATAACTATATATATATCTCCCTTCACCACCAATACTTAAAATAAAAAAAGTGACAATTATTTTTTTTAAATCATTTGAACAGAGCAAAATGGTTGATCAGCCAAGCTTGCAATAATGGCCAACATTGCTAAAAGATTTATAAACAATAACAATTCTTCAATAGCATGTAAAGACCACTTGCTTTGTTGTTTGGTCTGTGGATAGTGGTCTCATTGGCAACCACACCTCATCTCCATATTTCTTTATAGTTATAAAATGTATGTTAAATTAGGGTTTTATAAAGATAAGAAGATGTGGTATGATTGCCAATGAGACAACTCTCCACAAGAGACCAACTGAGACAGAAATTAACAGCTATAGATCACTATATGGTCTTCAACAATGAGCAAAGCCCACAGATTTTGCACTGAACATGAAAATGTGATATTTGGAGCAGGCCGAGGCAGATTTTAGATCGTTATTGTTTTACAATAGCACATGGAAACAAAGAATATATGAAGTCGTGTATTTTACTGTTAACTCTACTCAAAAATCAAACTGTGCCTCCGGTATTATCATTCATATTTCAAAGGATTTTGCAATAATCTTTTACATTCAAGGTAATTAGAATATTCATATTTTAATTTCTTAGATATCTTCTTTTTTCTGTGATTTTTAGAAACTCGACATGGACGTAGAATACTTGGTAGGACAAACTTAGTAAGACAGAACGAAGAAGGAAAAATTCCTCAGCTAGATCAGTGTATTATGACAAAGTAAGTAAATGGATAGATTGACAGGGAAAAATTGACACTATATCAAAACTTTTGTATGAACTGTGTGTTCAAATGTAAATTCCGAAATTATTGGGAGGTTTTTGTTAATGCGAATACTGGGACTGAGTGATTATGGCAGTAATAAGAACTCACATTCTGATATCTGATACATATATCTGTTGAAGCTTTTCCTGCAATCACAATAATTAATCTTCCATTTTTGTGTCGTCTTCAAAGATCGCAAAATAAATGGATGAATTTACAGTATTGAAAATTAATATTTAAGTCAATCTTTGGTTAGACCTGTCAGGTGCTGAAACCCATGACCTCCCACTCTGGAGACAAGACACCTGAGATTGTTACAGTCATTGGAATCTTAGTTTCTAGTTATGGACCTAAAAACATCATAGCATTGTTTTGGCCTATTATGAACCATTTTGTTACATTTTGTAGTATGATTTTGACCTTTTATGAACTCTTTTATTATGATTTTGACCTTTTATGAACTCTTTTTTATTATGAATTTACATTACTTTTCAGATGGTTTGGTGCTGCTGTTAACTGGAATGGTACACCATACTTCTATTGAACTGGAATGAAACACCATTCTTCTGTGGAAAAAAAGGCAGTCAATAATAAGTGTCTTATAATAAACTCTTCTTGTTACTTCATGACTTTCAAATTGATCGTGTTGAATTTTACATAGGCCTCATGTTGTCAAACAGAAAACATTCTTTTTGCAGTTCTATTTTTATTTGTCTTGTCTTGATAAATGCATGTGTCTATAACTTAGCTATGAGAATTACTTTTCTGACAAGGGATGGATTGATGCAACACCTAATGTAGTTTCCTGATAACGTTCATTTCAGAATCAGTACAGAACTGATGATAAAAGAAGAGTGTAAACAAATGTACTTTAACTTAACATATATTAAAAAAAATCAATGCCCATACATGCTGGACGATTTCTTAATAAAAAAAAATAACATTTAGAAGAAATGTTGATTTCCTGATCACTTCTGACTTGGTATTTGTGTTTTGCAAATGACAGCTTTTGGTTGACAAGTTTTTACTCTTGTTAAACATCTGAATTTTTAAACAGTTATTTTAGTTAAATGATACCCTCTCATTAAAAGCTAAGGTAAGGGCTATTTAACATACAGAGAACCTAACATATTGCAAGTGAATTTGAAGTAATTTAATTTTTCAGTTTTTGATAAAATGTTGTTTATACAGTCAGATGACAGGCCATTTGATTGCTGTTTTTAATTTTGGTAGGGCAACCAAGACATCTGTGTAAACTGTGTTTATTTGCACTGGTAAAATTTAGAAAACTAATTCAGATTGATCAATGCCCTGTTTCTAATTTCTGTTCTACTTTTCAAAATAAAATGCAGTGGAGGACAAGGGGGGAATCTTTAATCATATCCATGTCCCATGCAAAGTGTTTTGGAAGTTCCTGATTTATATTTGATGATCATGCATGAATTACTTCAAATGAAGGGTTTACAAAATGTTATTCATGTCTGAAAAGAGGGGGAAATATGTTAACATGGCGCAAATATTTTGAAAACTGATGCTGGCGATTTTTCTGGTGACAACTTTTCAGAGGCTAGCACAGTCCCTGGGAACAGTTTTTATCATAAAAATAAAGAATTTTACTTAAAGTTATATTGATGATTTTAAGTGCCTTCCGACTAAATCTCACCTATTTCTTTCTGTCCGATTTTATGTTTTTCATTTAAGTAGTTTCAGATTGTTGACTTGATACTGTGAATGAGTACCATTTTTTCCAATTCACTTAATAAGTTGTCTCTGTATTAATCTATCAACATGAAATGTTTACAAAATATTAAAATAGAAAATTCATTTAGAGTTTTACAGTTTTAAGCTATTTTTGTTCTAAAACTTACAGGACTTTATACATGGATGGAAAAAAAACTCATTTCCTCCAAATTTCATGAAACAATAAATATTATTGTAAACTGACATTGTGTACATTGTTTGTTTTCCTGAGGATTTTGAATGAGTTGTTAAGTTTGAGACATGGTTAGATAACTGACCAGAAATTGTTTTTGCTTTATTTACAGAGTGCAATTACTTAATATTTATACTGATTTTGTTACTTTAGTTGTGTGCTCTCCTCTTTTTATCTTGTTAATATTTCATTATTATTATATTATATAGCTTTGAAGCCATCAAATGGAGTTGTAGAAGATGAACAGTAATGATATTTGTGACTTTGAAACCACTTTGACAAAATATAATAATTTGTAAAGTTTTATATACAAGCATGTTATATTCAAAAGCAAGTATATATATGTAATTTGTACTAATCTGTACTGTACTTTTACTAGAGCAGTCTGAAAAAGTCACAATTTTACAGGAATATTCTTTACTAATAATTTAATTTGTACTGAACAGTAATTTTCTCAATCTGAACTGTACTTGACAGAATGGCTGTGTAGAATCTGTCAAGAACAGATCTGGTTGAATTCAGTTGAAACTTGAAAGAATATGTTTCAGAGAACATTTCTGACTGGTCAGTGCAATTTAAAATCTATTCATAATCTTCAATGTGTGTTGATATCCAAATTTGCATATTACAGAATAATATTGAATTGATATGTAATATTTTCATAGTAAAATTTGTTTTTGGTATTTTTAAATGGAAACTTCAATTTGAAACAACATGTATGATAATAATTAAGTTATTTTTATTTTGTTATTTTATCAGTTTTCAATCAAATGTAACATTCTCAGTGATTTTATTTTTTCTATTTTATCATAGTTTTGAGAATTATGTCGTAGTGCCTTCAGCATCTATCTAGGAGTGTGTATTCACATCCATTCTAAGATGCATTAGATATTTAGCCATATTGTTGTGAAAGTGTTTTGATATGAATTGTGTAGAGATAACAACATGGAAAGATAGAATCTATTAGATTTTATGCAAATACTCTTTCAACTGTATAGAAAAAGTTAGCAGTGTTATGTTGTAGAGGCCAGTTTTAACATCACCCCCTCAATGTTTGAAATAAAGACTTTTAAAACAGATAAAGAGATTAGTATTCTGTGCATCCAAACTTTTATTTGGTGATCTTTTTCTTTCCTGTAAATCACAAGTACAAATTTATATTTAACTATTTTCTATGAATTTGGCTCATTATTGAAGGTTATAAGGTGACCTATAGTTGCTGACATCCTTTTTTGACCTTTGGATTATTTTGGATAGATGTGGTATTGACAATCTCTTTTATATACTGTAAATTCAGAAATTATTGCGTGCATTTATTATTGCGATTTTGTTATTTTAGACTAAAATGTGATTTTTATTTTTGCGATATTGAGAAAAATCCTGTTTAATTCATATAAAAAATTTCAAAATGCGAGTTTAAATTATTGCGATTATTACCCTGTCGCATTTTTCGCAATAATAAAAACATCCCAATAATTTCTGAATTTACAGTATAAATTAATGGGACTGAAAATAAAGTAATAAAGGAGAAACTGACAACAGGTATGTGGAAAGTTAAAAACATAGTTTTAAAATAGATATTTAACATTACAATTCAAATGATACGACTAGTCAGTCAGCCGCAATTGTAAGGTCATTTTGTCAGATTTTCCATGTAACACTCTGTTTAGAGGCATAAATGTTGGATAAGAACTGGACCTATGTAGACTAGCTTTTATATTGAAATGTAGCATTTGTTATACGTTTATAGTAATTATGTTAAAATCTTTCATTTAACTAGACTATCAGTGACCTTATATTTTGGAAGGTGATTTTCTATCAGAATCCTAGAGTGACTTGTGTTTTACATAAGACACACACCCAGCTCCATCAAGACTTAAAAGTCATATGAAACAAGTTTCTTATAATTTTAATGTTATCGAAATTATTAAACCAATGCATACATGTATACTAAACTTAGTCCTGTATATAGATATAAGAAGATATGCATGTTTTTATTTTTATTACGAATCTATAACGTATTATCGACAATCAATATTTCATTCAGTAATTGTTGATTGCAGCTAATTAACTTTCAAGTTTGTTTTCGAAGTTTACCAGATTGTGAAATTGATAAACAATCAACACAGAGCAATTGGAGCACATTACAAATAAGTGGATAGATAGAGCCATGATATCTTTATATATATATATTTTCCGTGCATTCCCATTTGTTAATTAAACTTTTCCTTAACAGTTGTTAAATGATTTGTTGTATTAAATTTGTTCTTTAAGAATCAGTTATTACTATTCACTCCCAGTGCACGATTGTTTACATTCTTTCATCACAGTTTTTTCCTCACACTTGTGGCCAAAGTTCTAACCAAAGGTCTTGTAGTTAAGGTCACTGCATAAAGTGCATATGGGAAACAATCGGTGAATTAGTGTACAGGAAGACAATAATTAAATAGCAGTACATTTACAAAGATTTGATAATATAAAGAATATTCTTTTACAAGAAAGTTCATGTACACTTGTGTAATAGTAAAACTTAACCATTCAAGTGCATAAAACATATTCAGCTTTTTTTTAATTTGAAGTTTCATATGACTTTAATGTGGTTTGCATTGTCAAATTATACTTGAATTGTGCATTGAATGTATGTAAATGGCTTCTGTAAAATTAAAAGATAAAGACATCTTTTTATGGATGGAGTACATTTTCTTAGGTTTCTCAATAAGCTAAAATTAATCAAGATTGGAAACTTATGAAAAACAGTAAAGTGGTTGTTAGTATTCATTATAGATTACATTTATTGGCTGATTTAAATTGACCAGGCTGAAGTCTGTTAAATGGAAGAAACTATCTGTGATAATTATTGCATTTGTTTGATGATATATTTAGTATTGTTAGTAAATATTGTTTTTAACTTTTTATAGTTTTAATTGACATGCGACACAATTTTTAAGGACCACTTATGAAATACTACACATATTATAGTTAAATTAAATGAGTAAATAAGTGTAATATTAACTACATGAGGCATCAGATTTAATGTCCCCATTCCAATTGGACGTGGCTGTGTATATATATATCCAGCACAGCTAAACGGACACCACATTTCAGCAAGGTTATTGCTGCCAGATAGACAAAGGTCCAGGGATAACCATATTTTAATACCCAGTGAACTCTTTGGGTTTATGTACACATGTGGGTTCCAGTTAAAGTCAGTGATAACATGTGAAATTGTACAGGTTTCTCATTGAATACCTATCCATAATGAAATCTACGTTTTTGTTTCAAGTTGGATACCTGCTGGGTAAGGTGGAATGTGTAACATGTATCTGGTTTGGTTCATTCAAACATGTAGCTTGGACATCTCAACCAAGATTTAATGCAGTTGTATGTATTGGTATCTGTATATTCATATGGACATCTCAACAGACTTTTAGATACAGTTGTAGTACAGTTATCTGTACATTGATATGGACATCTCAACAGACTTTAGATACAGTTGTAGTACAGTTATCTGTACATTGATATGGACATCTCAACAGACTTTAGATACAGTTGTAGTACAGTTATCTGTACATTGATATGAACATATCAAAAGACGTTAGATACAGTTGTAGTACAGTTATCTGTACATTGATATGAACATATCAACAGTATGATATACAGTTATAGTACAGTTATCTGTACATTGATATGGACATATCAAAAGACGTTAGATACAGTTGTAGTACAGTTATCTGTACATTGATATGGACATCTCAACAGACTTTAGATACAGTTGTAGTACAGTTATCTGTACATTGATATGAACATATCAAAAGACGTTAGATACAGTTGTAGTACAGTTATCTGTACATTGATATGAACATATCAACAGTATGATATACAGTTATAGTACAGTTATCTGTACATTGATATAAACATATCAACAGTATTATATACAGTTATAGTACAGGTATCTGTACATTGATATGAACATATCAAAAGACGTTAGATACAGTTGTAGTACAGGTATCTGTACATTGATATGAACATATCAAAAGACGTTAGATACAGTTGTTGTACAGTTATCTGTACATTGATATGAACATATCAACAGTATTATATACAGTTATAGTACAGGTATCTGTGCATTGATATGAACATATCAACAGTATTATATACAGTTATAGTACAGTTATCTGTACATTGATATGAACATATCAACAGTATTATATACCAGTGGCGTAGCTAGGCCATTTTTAAGTGTACGCCCGAACCTTGGCGAGGGACATGAGGGCCACCAGCGGGTTTAGGTCAAAGGACTTCCTGGTAATAGGTTCGTTGGGGTGAAGCCCCAGGAACCTCACGCGTTATCGAGAAAAGAAATACCATTTCTGTCATAAAAAACTCATCAATAGTAACATACTTTAGAGTCTAATTTGTTTATTTTCATGTTTAATTTATCAGTTATTTTGAATCTAATGGTCATAGATTTCAGAGACAAATGTCCAAACCAGTCACTTTATAATATGTTTAAAAGGAGATGTTGAATTAAACAAGCAATCGATAAAAATAAAAACAAAAGCAATGAGTTTCCATTTCAATGTTGTTCTATTATTTATTCAATAATATGTTCATCTTATTTTCTCCCATTTTATGCACAAATTTTGTTTATGGACACAGGAAATGATGAATGTTTATAGATGGTCAGGTGTAACATAAAAATGTGTAAGGCCGGTTTAGTGGAACCCTGTGTCTCGCCTGGGATAGCTGCTGTCAGTGTAAAAGCGTGATTTAAAAAAAAAATCAAACTTTTTTCCGATGCTTTTTCATGATATTGAACAGTTAGCTTATATCCAAGTTTCATAACAATCTATGAAGGTTTACAAATTTAACATGTCACAAAAATTTAATCCAGTCTGTTAATTGCAAAAAAAAATAAAATAAAAATAAGTCCGTCTTGTCAGTAAATTTTTCCAAAATTTTTTTTTACTTTCAAAATTTTGCTTCAGACATAATCTCTTAATCATAAAAA